GGAGAATTGCTTGAACGGGGACCAGGGAGGCAGAGGTTACAGTGAGTCACCGCACTCCAGCCTGGGCTACAGAGCGAGAGTCCATCTTAAAACAAAACAAAAAAAAAAAAACAAAAAACAAAAAACAGGAAAAAAAAAAAAAAAAAAAAAAAAGCCCCATCCCCGAGCGCGCGGCAGGGCGGCAGTCCGGCTTCTGCCGGGATGCGGAGGGGCGCCGACGGGGGCGGGACCTTGCCGGGGGGCGGCGGGGCGAGCGCCACCCGAGGGGTCGGGTGCGCCCCGGGCCGGAGAGGCGCGCTCCCGCCGCGCTCGCTCCGCGCTCCCTTCGCTTCGTTCGCTCGCTCGTTCCCTCCTCCCTGGGAAGCCGCGGCGGCAGCAGGAGAAGACGGCGGCGGCTGGGGATCAGACGTGGCGACGGATCTGAACCTGGAGTGGATCTGCTCCCTGCCCCGGTCCTGGACTTACGGGATCACCAGGGGCGGCCGAGTCTTCTTCATCAACGAGGAGTCCAAGAGCACCACCTGGCTGCACCCGTCACCGGCGAGGCCGTGGTCACTGGGCACCGGCGGCAGAGCACAGATTTGCCTGCTGGCTGGAAGAAGCATATACCTTTTTGAAGGCGCAAACACTATATAAACCATAATGAAAGGAAAGTGACCTGCAAACGTCCAGTCAGGGGACAATCATCACAGGACAACTGCATTTTTGTAGTGAATGAACAGACTGTTGCAACCATGACACCCGAAGAAAAGAAGGAACGACCTATGAATGAGTATGATAAATGAAGCTTCTAACTATAATGTGACTTCAGATTATGCAGTGCATCCAATGAGCCCTGTAGGCAGAACTTCACGAGCTTCAAAAAAAGTACATAATTTTGGAAAGAGGTCAAATAATTCAATTAAAAAGAATCCTAACGCACTGGTGGTCAGACGAGGTTGGCTTTATAAACAGGACAGTACTGGCATGAAATTATGGAAGAAACGCTGGTTTGTGCTTTCTGACCTTTGCCTCTTTTGTTATAGAGATGAGAAAGAAGAGGGTATCCTGGGAAGCATACTGTTACCTAGTTTTCAGATAGCTTTGCTTACCTCTGAAGATCACATTGATCACAAATACGCTTTTAGGGCAGCCCATCCAAGGACCTATTATTTCTGCACTGATACAGGAAAGGAAATGGGAGTTGTGGATGAAAGCCATGTTAGATGCTGCTGCCCTAGTATAGACAGAACCTGTGAAAAGAGTGGACAAGATTACATCTGAAAACGAACCAGCTAAAGAAATCAATAACATTCCCAACCATAGAGTGCTAATTAAACCAGAGATCAAAAACAATAAAAAGAAAAAAAAAACAAAAACAAAAAACAAGGAAATGAGCAAAATTGCAGGAAAAAAAGGCTTTAGAAGCTGAAAAATATGGATTTCAGAAAGATGGTCAAGATAGACCCTTAACAAAAATTTATAGTGTAAAATTGAATTCTCTGCCTTCTGAGTATGAGAGTGGGTCAGCCTGCCCTGCTCAAACTGCATACCACAGACCGGGCAACTTAAACAGTTCAGAGAACAAAATAGTCAATGTTAGCCTGGCAGATCTTAGAGGTGGAAATTACCCCAATACAGGGCCCTTATACACAGAGGCTGATCGAGTCATACAGAGAACAAATTCAATGCAGCAATTGGAACAGTGGATTAAAATCCAGAAGGGGAGGAGTCATGAAGAAGAAACCAGGGGAGTAATTTCTTACCAAACGTTACCAAGAAATATGCCAAGTCACAGAGCCCAGATTATGGCCCACTACCCTGAAGGTTATAGAACCCTCCCAAGAAGCAGCAAGACAAGGCCTGAAAGTCATGACAAGACCTCAGGACCCGGAGCAGAAGAGAAACAGAGGTCCATGAGAGATGACACATGTGGCAGCTCTACAAATGGCAGCAGCGTCAGTGTTATAACAAACAGAGCACCCTCCCTTGACACAGTTCTTTGAGTAGTCCCAAAACCATAGTTAATATTTCTGACCAGACAATGCACTCTATTCCCACATCACCTTCCCATGGGTCAATAGCTGCTTATCAGGGATACTCCCCTCAACGAAGTTACAGATCGGAAGTATCTTCACCAATTCAGAGAGGAGATGTGATGATAGACCGCAGACACAGGGCCCACCACCCTAAGCATGTCTATGTGCCTGACAGAAGGTCAGTGCCAGCTCGACTGACTTTACAGTCTGTTAGTCCCCAGAGCCTCCAAGGGAAAACTGTCACGAGATGAAGGTGCAGGTACATTATACAAATACAGACCTGAAAAAGTAGATATTGATGCCAAGTTAAGCTGATTATGTGAACAAGATAAAGTGGTGCATGCTCTGGAAGAGAAACTTCAACAGCTCCACAAGGAGAAATATACGCTTGAGCAAGCTTTGCTATCAGCCAGCCAAGAGATAGAAATGCACACACATAACCCAGCAGCCATTCAGATAGTGCTGTTACAAAGGGACAATTTACAAAATGGACAGCTTAGTACGTGTCGAGAATTTTCTCTAGCCACTACCGAATTGGAACGAGCATGGAGAGAATGTAAGTTAGAATATGAAGTGACTATTACCAGGAACCAGATGCAAGAGCAGCTAAATCACCCTGGTTAAGTTGAGACAGAAGCAGCAGGAATTCAGTGAGCACAGATTCAGAAAGAACTTTGGCAAATTCAAGATGCCATGGAAGGACTGAGTAAACATCGCAGCAAAGAGGTACTACAGAAATAGGTGTGATAGGATCAAAGCCTTTCTCAACAGTTCAGTACAAAAATGAGGGTCCAGATTATAGACTCTGCAAGAGTGAACCAGAGTTAACAACAGTGGCAGAAGTTGATGAATCTAATGGGGAAGAAAAATCAGAACCTGTTTCAGAGATGGAAACTTCAGTTGTGAAAGCTTCCCATTTTCCTGTTGGAGTCGTCCCTCCAAGAACAAAATCACAACACCCGAATCTTTGACAATAGCTTCATACATAACCTTGAGGAAAACTAAGAAGATGGTGGATCTAGGAACGGACAGACCAAGAAGTGCGGTGGAGCAGCTCTGTTTGGCTGAGAGTACTCGACCTGGGATGACTGCGGAAGAGCAGATGGAAAGAATAAGAAGACGTCAACAAGCGTGCCCGAGGGAAAAGAAATAAGGATTAAATGTTATTGGTGCTTCAGACCCATCACCCGTAGAAAGCCCTTCAAATTTAAGGGATAATCCATTTAGGACTTCTCAGATTTGAAGGAAGGATGACAACATTAAGGAACCGGACACTGTCGTTAGAGAAAATTATGTAAAACCAGACCGTGAAACTCCGGCAGCAGAAATTGTTCAACTAAAAGAAGATGAACCCCAAAATGTGGACTTCAGCAAATAGTTAAAAAAAAAAAAACGGAAAATATTTCTTATGAAATGCTTTTTGAACCTGAGCCAAATAGAGTAAATTCTGTGGCAATGACAGATAAAGAAAGAAACCAAAAAAAAATGCCTGAGGATGTTATGTACAGCCCTCAAGATGAAACACAGATCACAAATTACAAACCAGAAGACCATCTTGAAGAAAATACGAAGAACAATGTTGATGAACAGGAAGAAATTTATTTCTTACGAATCAACTCCTGAGGTTTCTAGAGGAGATCGAACAATGGAAGTGAAAAGTCTTTCCCCATCTCGTGAGTCCTCAGCATCGCCTGTTCCATCCATTCAGACACAGCTCACATTTCATGTGTGTGTAGTCTCAGAAGAACTATATTGACTTCTGTTGAAACCATTCAAAGCTAAAGACGTGGACCTTCAGCAGTGTAAGAAGATATTGTACAGTATATTTTAAATCTGTGAAATTCATCGTCCTGATGCTTTTGGTCACAGAATATCATTTTATCACTTCTGGAAAATGTTTATTCCAAAACAGCTTTAATGGCCCATATGTACACTCTGTAATCTCAAGGTTATCATTCTGACATCAGCTTGCTGCTATGATTTCAGAGCACATAAGTAAAGGTGCTTTCTAATGTGCAGTCTGTTGCCAGAGCTTACTTATTTGCTGATTTCCAGATTTCGATGTTTCTTAAGTCTAGGTGAATTTATATATATATATATATATTTTTTTTTTTTGCTTTTCATTTTCTAAAGTTAGCTACTATTTCCAATGAAGCTTGTTTTCCTTTTTTTTTTTTTCTTCCCATTTTGGCTATTATAGTGCTTTTATTTCACACTTGATTTGTAAAAATTTTATATTTATTTATTTATTTATATATTTAAAATGTGCCATTTTATTGCTAAGTGAAGTATGTCCTGTTTTCTGCTATAATTCTTTCTCAGTCAGATTGCAATGTCAGCAGTTACTGCCACTCTCCTGTCAGCTTAAACACAAATGTTATCGCTTATCTTTTCTTAAAAAAAAAATTAAAAGTGTAGGTATTTTGAAGTACTGGGCTTATACTTCACTGGAATACATGTGTACAGCCATAAGCAAGTCTTCAAATCCAGTACTTAGTTTGTGTACAAACGTAATTATGTTCATTGTGGATATATTATACAATGAGCACATGTAATGTATTAAAGGCTACTTACTATTGCTAAAAAAAAAAAAAGATATCAAAAACAATGAGTTCACGTCCTTTGTAGGGACATGGATGAACCTGGAAACCATCATTCTCAGCAAACTGACACAAGAGCAGAAAATCAAACACCGTATATTCTCACTCATAGGTGGGTGTTGAACAATGAGAACACATGGACACAGGGAGGGGAGCACTACACACTGAGGTCCGTTGGGGGGAAATGGGGGAGGGGCGGGGGGTGGGGAGGTGGGAAGAGATAGCATGGGGAGAAATGACAGATACAGGTGAGGGGATGGAAGGCAGCAAACCACACTGCCATGTGTGTACCTATGCAACAATCTTGCATGTTCATCACATGTACCCCAAAACCTAAAATGCAATTAAAAAAAAGATAAAGAAAAAAATCCATGCAACTCACCTGTTTAAAATCCCAATATATGTGCAGTCCATCTGTAGCTGCCTTGGAGCATGGTTCTAAGGCGGGCTTCTCCTCTGCCTTGCCAGGATCTGTCAAGATCACTATCACTGCAATCACTATCACTGGCCTCTGCAATCAGTTGTCCCACATAAAGCTCCCCAGTTAGGTGATAGTAGACGTAGTAAAAGAGGGCAGAGGACTCACCATTGGCATCAGCAGCCAGCAGGAGACCCTAGCCAGAGGGAGGGCAGGAAGACTGATCTTGGAGCCCCTAGACACCCAGTCTCACCAGGAGCACTGAACCTTGCTGGCCAACACAAAGCCACCTCTGCTTCCCTCTACTCCTTAATCTCCCTTGAACCCAGGGAGAAGGCCGGGCCTCGGAGGGCTCCAGGGGAATCACAGCTTACATGGATGAAGAAGCTTGTCTCTGAAGAAAAAACAAAACTGAACTCCAGAATCTGTCACCGTAGGCCTCAGCTATGGATTTGTTGTCAGAAAATCTTCTTTCAAATTCCTAATTTGACACGACCTTGCTCAGTGAGTTTAGACAAGTATGTTGGTCATGTGACTCCATTTTTTCATATAAGTGGAAATGATATCTATCGTGCATGCCTCAAAAGGTTGCTATGAGGGCAGCATGCAAAGTAAGAGGATAGATGTGAATAGCGTCTGTTAAAAAAAAAAAAAAAAAAGTCCCCTGGCCGCACCTTCCACATGGTGCCAGGGCCCTTCCATCCCTTGGAGGAACATCTGCTCAGCTTCTCTCCTCTCCAGCTGTGTCCCTCTCTCTAGGAGAAGCACAGGTGGCTTCACCTGTCCACTTTCCCAGGCATTCAAGGAGCACAGAGAAGACGGAGGGAGCAGTGGGAGGAGGGGAAAAAGGAAGGGACCAGAGGTGACTGTCAGTGCAAATATCACCATGGAGAATAAATGCACAGTTAGTGGAGAAACCCAGAGGGTCCAGGCAAGAGCTACAGTTTTCAAGGGTACTAGAAGCAGAGACAGGGAAAAGAGATGGGGATTGGGGAGCAAGGAACGAAAGGAAACTGAGAGGGTTGTGGGCAAAGAGCCGAGGAGAAAGCCAGGGCAGGAAGGGCGTGTTGGGCAGGACAGGCAATCACATGATTCAGGATGCACTTTCTTTACAGTCGAACATGTAAAATCCAAAATGCAATTTCATCATACGCACTGTCCCATAGCCTATGATGGTGTGTATTGGCTTCAAGAGTGGGTAAACATTTTTCAGGTACCAGTCAAAAGTTTTACACTTCAGTTTTTCCCAGAGTGCCATTCTGGAAGAAATGTCCCCAAAATCTATTCCGGAGTTCTGTCAATAAAACACCAAGTGTTTCTGTGCTTTGATTCATGAAGCTCTGTTAAAGCAAACTAAGTATGGCCTGGGAAGAACTCTATATTTCCATATTTGAGCAGATGAATTGCAACCTAATTTAATAGATACACAAGATCGAAAACCTAACTTAGGACTATGCGCCTGTAACAATAGCTGAGACTTGTCCAATCCCAGCAGCCATACTTCAACCACTCACGCACGGTCCAGTGTTCAAACTGTGTTCAAATAAGGCAAATGTGGAGCTCTGACCAATCCAGCTGTTTCTATACTTCACTTCTGACATCTGTTTGTCACTTTCCTTTCTGTGTCTATAAATCTTCTCCCAGATGGCTGCGCTGGAGTCTCTGAATCTGCTGTGATTCTGAGTGTGGCCCAATTTGCGAATCATTCATCGCTCAGTTAAACTCCTTTAAATTTAATTTGGCTGAAGTTTTTCTTTTAACAGCTCCTTAACTCCACCTGTGGGTATGGGTCACGCATGATGGAACTGAATATTTTTCTGATAGCCTGTGAAGTCACCTTGATGTTTTCATATTTCCAGGGAAAGTAGGAAAATCTGAAACCCCAGAAAATTCTGCTCTTTTAAGGCCTGCATAGCGGGGCCGCTCATGTGTATTTCTCCTCATCAGCTAATGCAGACGGCTCCTGTTTGAGATGATATTTACATCAATAAATCCCCAAATCCTCCTCATGATGGTCAGAAAGGCTCTTGGGGCCAGGCACAGGGGCTCATGCCTGTAATCCCAGCACTTTTGGAGGCCTAGGTAGGCGGGTTGCCTGAGCTCAGGAGTTTGAGAACATCCTGGGCAACATGGTGAAACCCCGTCTCTACTAAAAATACAAAAAAATTAGCTGGGCGTGGTGGCGCATGCCTGTGGTCCCAGCTACTCAGGAGGCTGAGGCAGGAGAATTGCTTGAACTCAGGAGGTGGAGATTGCAGTGAGCCAAGATCACACCACTGCACTCCAGCCTGGGCAACAGTGCAAGACGCTGTCTCAAGGCTCTTGGGAGAAATACTCTAATACCAACATTTGGAGATTAAAAGAGACGTTTTTAGAAGTGATATTTTGTGAAGAATTAATGTAAAATAATACTGAAGAGGCAAATCAGAAAAGGAATGCAGAACCCACTTGTGTGTCTGCCCTTTTCCCGTGGGGCTCATTTAAGATCTTCCCCTTTAAAAGTTTCCATCATCCTTCTATGGTTCAGTTGTTTTACAGACCATTCTTTGTACAGGTTGGGACAGTCACAATATGATTCCCTAGAAATAAAAATGCTAAGGATGTCCTGGAGGGTGCTTGTTTTCCTGTCATACGCTGGTATACTGGGACATCAGAATCAATTCTCACCCATCTTTCTTCAAACAGTGAGCTAACTGTAAGAAGTTATGGGCAGCTTGGATTATGAAAGGAAGGATTTTGCTGACTTTAAAGAAGGCTCAGGCATTTCTGCACGTTTTTACATTCTCCAGACCTGCAGATTCCAGTGTTAGCCTGGCTCCTGACCCTAGGAGTCCTTCCAGACTTTCTCCTCTCGGTCCACCCATGGCTACCCACCATCCTAACCCCCTGCTTTCTGGGGGCTACATCAGAGCCCACTGTGATGGAGGAATGAGTTTGTCAACGAGATGACTGCCTCCTGTGGCTCAGCATGGCTCCACATGCTCTAGCCCAGAGCCAGAGCTCAGGGACATGAGACAGCACAGCATGCCAGCCTTAAGCAGACGGGGTATAAAATGTGGGCTTAGCAAAGAAGGCCATCGTTGGCTGGGTGCAGGGGCTAAGACTTTTCATCTCAACAATTTGGGAGGCCAGGAGTTTCAGATCAGCCTGGGCAACATAGCATGACTCTGTCTCTACCAAAAAAACTTTAAAAAGAATGCTATCCTCATTCTTGTGCATCCAACAAGATTACAGTGCCTTCTCCTGCCACCCCTCACCACACCTGCCATGTTTATGTCTCCCATTATAGAAGAGATGAAGAACATGGAAGTTACAAGCCAGATTTCTTTGGTTTGAATCTTACTACCTGTATTACCATAAACAAGTTTCTTTCAATGCTATGTGCCTCAGTTTCCTCATCTGTAAAACTTAGAATAATAAAAATAAAACCTATCCATCCCCTACATACGTTGTGATGGCTAATAAGTTAATATATAAAAGGGTCCAGAATGCAGTACTGTACTGTTACATAGATATTAAAGCCATTATTATCACGGCATCAGGACCTTACTCTAACTCTTTTTTTTTTTTGAGACGGAGTTTTGCTCTTGTTACCCAGGCTGGAGTGCAATGGCGCGATCTCGGCTCACCCCAACCTCTGCCTCCTGGGTTCAAGCAATTCTCCTGCCTCAGCCTCCCAAGTAGCTGGGACTACAGGTGTGTGCCACCATGCCCAGCTAATTTTTGTATTTTTTTTTTAGTAGAGACGGGGTTTCACCTTGTTGACCAGGATGGTCTCGATCTCCTGACGTCGTGATCCACCCGCCTCGGCCTCCCAAAGTGCTGGGATTACAGGCATGAGCCACCGCGCCTGGCCCTTACCCTAATTATTTAGGGCTGTGTTGGCACCTTTGTTTATCTCTCCCCATTACGTAACCGCCATCTCCTCCTCTTTCATTCTTCCGTGCTGCTGTTCAATTCCATTACTCACCTGGAGAGGTATGTTCCAGGCCAAGTAGACCATGTGTTTGTGCTCATCCATGAAGATTTCGGCCACTCGCAGAGCATTGCGCTTTAAGGCAGGGGTCAGATCCAAGGCATAGGGCTTGTGGTGTCTCTCTAGGTGACCAATCCGGGAGCAGGGCGAAACCTCGATCTTCCCTCCACACTGCCACACCTGCAGAAAAAGACAAAAAAGATCACCTGTGCCTCACAGTCAGTGAATTGCATAGCTTACTGACACAGGAGACTACATTTTAGAACTATTTTTAAAGAATGTATATTCAGTCCTCCCACTCCTGTCTTTATATTGCCTCCTATCCTTCTTATCTAAATCATCATTCCTTGGAATTTTACCAAACTGCTTCTCTCCTGTCATCCAGACAACTGCTGAAATCATACTTCCTTCAGGAAGTCTTCCTAAATGCACCAAAGGAGGGGCAGCCTCTGCTCCCTTATCCCCAAGGAAAGTGCCCATGTCCTGAGAGGTGCCATGCCCTGAGCCACTCCCACTGCACTAAGTTTCTCAAGCCCCTTCTCTGCCTGCATGCTAGACTTAGGGCAGTGTGGCCGACAGACGCCAAAGTGACCCCGTGATTCTCCTCCCGGTGTCCACAGCCATGCCTCATCCCCTCCCCTGAGTGTGGGCCTGTGACCTGCTTATAACCCACAGAATACAGCAAAGACGCCAGGGTGTGCTTGATTACACATATCATGAATACACTGCAAAATGTAGAGTCCATTTTGCCAAGAGATGCTCTCTCTCTCTCTCGTTGGCTTTGAAGAAGCAAGATGCCATGTTATCAGCTAACACACAAAAAGGGAAGACGTTAAGAGTGGCTTCCAACTGATACCCAGCATAAAACCGAATGCTTCCTGAGCCTGGAAGACTTTAGGGAACTGAATGCTGCCAATAATAATGTAAGCTTGAAAGTAGATCTTTTCACACTGAAGCCCAGATGAGAACCCAACTCTGGCTGATACCTTGACAGTAGCCTTACAGAGGACCCCGTTGAGCTGTGCACGGATCCCTGACCTGCAGAAACTGTGAGATAATGAATGCTTCTTGCTTTCAAACACTAAGTTTGTGATAACGTTGTTACAGAGCAATAGAAAACTAATTTGCATAACTTGACCAAAAAATACCATGGCTTATGACCCAATTATAAACATTTGTTTTTATCATCCTAATGGGTGCAAAACATACTTGTCGAAACACACATTCTAATATTGGGCTTAGAAAACATGATCTTCATCTCAGTAGCTAATAGGACTATCTAATCATATTGGATTGATGTGATGTCTCCTGCGTCTTCTCTTCATGGTTGCCTAAGTGAGCTGCTGTTTCTAAGAGGTAATTAGCCCACAGCAGTGGCTACAACCTGCCACACTCATGCCAAAGAGAGCCCTGAGATAAGAGTGTGTAGCTTACCTCCCACTGGTTCAGTTAACATATCAAAACAGTGTCCAACTGAGTAGTCAGTCTCATTATCTGAATTTCACACTGTTTTCATCCTTTTTCCACTGCTTAAAACCCTAGATTCACCCTCCTCTGCACCCTATTTCCCAGAATAACGGAGTAAAAAAAGCAAGACTTTGAAATCAGACTGAACTATGTTCAAATTCTGGTTTCATCATTGCACACCTGGCAGCTAGAGTCCTTTGCCTCCTGTCCTTCTTAGCTAAATCATCATTCCTTAGAAGTTTACCAAACTGCTTCTCTCCTATCATCCAGACAACTGCTGAAATCATACTTCCTTCAGGAAGTCTTCCTAAATGCACCAAAGGAGGGGCAGCCTCTGCTCTTTTATCCCCCGGGAAAGAGCACATGTCCTGAGAGATGCCATGCCCTGAGCCACTCTCACTGCACTAAGTTTCTCAAGCCCCTTCTCTGCCTGCATGCTAGACATAGGGCAGTGTGGCCGACAGACGCCAAAGTGACCCCATGAGGCTTTGCCTCTAACTGCCAGGTGTGCAATGATGGAGTAGGTTGAGCCTCAATTTATTCATCTGCTAAAAGGGCACAGCCACTGTTTGGGTTGTTCGCAGGATTAAATGACATAACAAGGAGTCAGTTATGACAGCCTCTGAGATAATTTGAGGTACACCTGCTCTTTCATTATCCTTCTCTGGCTCTCTTCACTGGTCCCCAGAATCATGTGGAGGTTACATCCCACTTGCACTCAGATGTTATTCTTTCTAGCCCAACATTCAAAAATCCAAATGCAACCTTACTCCAATTTTCCTAGTTGACGAAGGTTTTCAACTCATATAAATTAGGGGCAAAAAATTAACTGCTGGCATAAAAAAAATTTTAAATTCAAGTTAAAAGTCAAGATTGCCTAGGCTGGGCACGGTGGCTCATGCCTGTTATCCCAGCACTTTTGGAGGCTGAGGTGGGCAGATCACTTGAGGTCAGGAGTTTGAGATCAGCCTGGCCAACATAGTGAAACCCCATCTCTACTAAAAATACAAAAATTAGCCAGGTGTGGTGGTACACACCTGTAATCCCAGATACCCAGGAGGCTGAGGCAGGAGAATCACTTGAACCTGGGAGGTAGAAGTTGCAATGAGCCTAGATCACGCCACTGCACTCCAGCCTGGGGAATAGAGCGAGACTCTGTCTCCAAAGAAAAAAAAGATTGCCATTTATGAAATAATGCTCATAATCAGCTTTCCCAAAAAGTTTTCAAACTCTGCTCTTCCAATTTAGTCCCAATTGCTAAACTCCTTTCATCATTTATCTTTCTCTCTCTTTCTCACACACACATAGAGAGACATTAAGCTTCTCCTGATAATATTACTTTGTGTTATACACTCTCCTAATACTTTCCATAAATTTAATCCTCACCATGTTGGTATCCCCCTTTAAGTAACCTGTCCATGTTTATCAGCTAGTAAATGACAGAGCTGCACTGTGAACCCAGGCAGTCACATGTTCAGTTCTGGCACAGTGCATGAATACACAAGGTGCTCAAAAAATGTTGTTTTGTTGTTGTTTTTTAACAGAGTTTCGTTCTTGTTGCCCAGGCTAGAGTGCTATGGTGCAATCCCACCTTACAGCAATCTCTGCCTCTTGGGTTCAAGAGATTCTCCTGCCTTAGCCTCCCAAGTAACTGGGATTACAGGCATACACCACCACACCCAGCTAATTTTGTATTTTTATTAGAGACGAGGTTTCTCCATGTTGGTCAGGCTAGTCTTGAACTCTCAACCTCAGGCAATCTGCCCACCTCAGCCTCCGCGAGTGCTGAGATTACAGGCGTGAGCCACGACACCCAGCCCCATCTCCCTTCTTAACTTTTCCTACCCATCATCTCCGTTTACACACATTAATGAGCACCATCCCTGCCATGGCCACTAGATGTCAGAATAAAGCACTCCATGCAGCTCTGATGTTCAAGATCTACTAACTGGATAAACATCTTAATAAGTGCTTAGACATTTTAAAAGGCAAATAGTCACACGCAAACCCAGAAGCTGGATATAAGCAGAACTGCTTGATCCAAGGAAAAAGGGTGACTGTATATTTTAATCAAAGTCCATTTTTAAAATTACAAAATATTAAAGAAATATAATTTCTTGTAGAAACTGAAATGGCAGTGTTCTATGTGTATTTGGGAGAATGAAAACAGAGAAACTCAGCCTAGATGTAGAAGAGGAGAACAAAGCATAAAGAACTCAGAAACAATAAGGGCTTTGAGTCCTAAGTTGAAGAATTGGGGTTCCAGCCAAATTCGCCTAAAGCTCTGGTAGATAAGAAAACCCAGCCACAAAGTCTAGGGTCATCCTCAAGACTTTGCTAAGTACCATATGTAAAGCAATTCTTTTTGCATTTATATTTTGTGTGTTAGAGACTACTTGTACTCCTGATGCGTATTCTGCTCTACATCTACAATTATAGGACAAACATCTGGGCACATAACCCACTAACTAAAGTCTATACTTCCCAGACTCCTTTGCGCACAGGTGTGGCCATGGGACTAGGTACTGATCAATAGAATGTGTAAAGAAACAATATACACAACTTTCAGATAGTGCTCATAAAAAAAAAGAGCTTGCTTTCTCTTTCCCCTTTTTCTCTTCCTACTGGCTAGAATACAAATATGGTGTTGAATGTGGCAGGACCACAAACTAAACCTCTTGGTCCCTATCACCCTAGAGCTGCCATATCAATACTGAACTGCTTAGGTTCAAGTAAGTTATAGGAAGGAGAAATTACTTTCTATCATGTTGAAGTTTCTGTTATTTTAGCCTCTGTCAGAGAAGCTAAATGAGCATTCTAATTAATATTCTTATAAAGTCATATCAAATTCACTTTGTACTATCATTCTTATGAAATACATTAAACGAAATGTTTCTCTTCATTTCACAAATGGGAAAACTGATCAAGACCACTGAATTTGTCAGTTTTCACATTTCTATGAAGAACTGTCTGAGACTGGGTAATTTATAAAGCAAAGACGTTTAATTGACCTACAATTCAGCATGGCTGGGGAGGCCTCTGGAAAATTACAATCATGGCAGAAGGCAAGGGGAAAGCAAGGCACCTTCTTCACAAGGTGGCAAGAAGGAAAATGAATGCAAGAGGAACTACCAAACACTTATAAAACCATCAGATCTTGGGAAAACTCACTATCAGGAGAACAGCATGGGGGAAACCCTCCCATGATCCAATTATCTTCACCTGGTCTCTCCTTTGACATGTGAGTATTATGGGGATTATAATTTAAGATGAGATTTGAGTGGGGACACAAAGCCTAACCATATCAACCATCGTCTAAAAAAAAGTTATTTTTCTCTGCCAAAGAATGATTATGGCTTAAGGTATAAGCCAGACAAAACTCAAAGTTCATTTGTTAACATAAATGTGGAGACCTGAGTGGGTCCTTATTGGGTACAGTACATGACTGTGGGTCATCAGTTTCAGTTAGAAAGAAATTAAACAGAGTGGAATGAAATAAACTCAAGAGGGGAAATTACTTTGTTCTTCCAGACACCACAGTGGAACAGAGATCACCTTGTCACAGGCACAGAATTTCAGGGCTTGGAGGAGATAAAAAGATCATCTTATAGAAGCTTAGTCCACAGTGAGTTAGCAGAGACAGCACTAGAGCTCAGGGTCAGTGTTTGTTACAATGCCACCCTGACATTTTTATTTTGTCATTTTTACCATTAAACATTTATTAAGGGTAAACTGAGTGCAACACACCATAGTTGGTGCTTGATGCAGCAGGGATGGTTTAGAGGGCTTCCTTGTATGTTGCACACAAACTCCTGAGTGGCAAAGCAGGATTTTGACTTAAGTCTGTCTGTCTCCAATGCCTGTGTAATTTCCACTACTTTCCATTGCCTCTTTTAATAGAAGCAACCCGATGTCAAGATGTAGAGTTTTTACTTGTTTTTCTTTGCTTGTTTGCTTGTTTGTTTATGCAAATAGTGTTGTCATCATCTCAAAATAATTTGTGACAAGATAGTATTGTAAGCCTCATGGGAATCCCTCAAACCAAAAAACATGCAACAGATACACAAAAAATAAAAAGCAAGAAACTAAACCATAGCAACAGAGAAAATCAACTTCACTAGAGGAAGACAGGATAAAAAAAAGGAAAGAAAAGACCACAAAACAACCAGAAAACAGATAACAAAATAGCAGAAGTAAGTCCTTACTTATCAATAACAACATTGACTGTAAATGGACTTAACTCTCCAATCAAGACAGAGTGCCTGAATGAATGAAAAACAAGACCCCCTGATCTGTTGCCTATAAGAAACATACTTCACCTATAAAAACACAAATAAACTGAAAATAAAGGAATGAAAAAAGATATTCCATATGAACGGAAACCAAAAAAAGAGCAGGAGTAGCTATATTTATATCAGACAAAATAGATTTCAAGACAAAAACTATAAGAAGAGACAAGTTCATTATATAATAATAAAGGAATCATTTAAGGTGATTCCTTAAGTACCTAGAAATAGAAATTCCATTTGACCCAGCAATCCCATTACTGGGTATATATCCAAAGGATTATAAATTTCTTCTATAAGGACACATGCACACGAATGTTCATTGTAGCACTGTTTACAATAGCAAAAACCTGGAACCAACCCAAATGCCCATCGATGATAGACTGGACAGGGAAAATGTGACACATATACACCATGGAATATTATGCAGCCATCAAAAACGATGAGTTCATGTCCTTTGTAGGGGCATGGATGAACCTGGAAACTATCATTCTCAGCAAACTGACACAAGAGCAGAAAATCAAACACCGCATGTTCTCACTTATAGGTGGGTATTGAACAATGAGAACACATGGACACAGGGAGGGGAGCACTACACACTGGGGTCTGTTGGAGGGAAATAGGAGAGGGACAGTGGAGGGTGGGGAGTTGGGGAGAGACAGCATAGGGAGAAATGCCAGATATAGGTGAAGGGGAGGAAGGCAGCAAATCACACCGCCATGTGTGTACCTATGCAACTATCTCACATGTTTTTCAAATGCACCCCAAAACCTAAAATGCAATTAAAAAAATATACAGATTGTGGGAGATTGTAAAAAATAGCTACGGACTTTCACTTCTTGGTAATGTGCTTTTTCAGCTTTTCCCATCAAGAAGTGAAATCTCTTTCCACTCCTACCCCTGTGAGATTGAACTTACAGTGTCCTTCAGCCAGTAAGATGCAGCAGTAGTGATCATACCAGTTCCATGCCTTGGTCTTAAGAAGCCTTGTGTGATTCACTTGATTTCCTGGAACCCTCCCCAGGCCAGTCTGCTGGATGATAAAGGACAGTAGAGCTCAGTTGATTAAACTAAGGCCATCCTAGATTGGCCAGCCCCCAGCCAACTGGAGAGCTGACCACTGAGCCCAGTCTAATCAGAACTACCCAGTTGAGACCAACCCAAATTGACAGCCAACAGAATTGTGAGTTATAAATACAGTTGTTTTTGAAGCCACCGTGTTTTGCAGTGGTTTGTTCCCACTAACTCACTCTAGCAAAAGCTAACTCATACACCAATGTTGGAGGAACTAGATGAATTGGTCTGAGATGGACCTTAGACACAGTATATTTTCAAAGCTCTGGGTGATTCTCATGTGCACCCAGTGTTGAAAACCACCAGTCTAGATGAAGACACTCAGTGCTTCATGGGCTGGGTTATAAGTTGAGTTAGACTAAGGGCTAACCCAATGGGACTCCTTTGAAGCTTGTTTAAGTTATTGGCGTATAGGTGGTATTTGATTACATAAGTTCTTTAGTGGTGATTTGTGAGATTTTGGTGCATCCATCACCCAAGTGGTATACACTGCACTATGTTTGTAGCTTTTATAACTTGTCCCCCTCCCACTCTTCCCCCAAGTCCCGAAAGTCCATTCTTCGTATCATTCTTATGCCTTTGCGTCCTCATGCCTTAGCTCCCACATTATCAGTGAGAACATACTATATTGGTTTTCCATTCTGAGTGACCTCACTTAGAATAATAGTCTCCAATCTGAGACATCTAAATTTAAAACGAATAAACAGGCTAGGTGAGAATCCCAGCACTTTGGGAGGCAGATCACTTGAGGTCAGGGGTTCAAGATCAGCCTTGCCAACATGGTGAAACTCCATCTCTACTAAAATAAAATAAAAATTAAGCTAGGTGCACGCCTGTAATCCTAGCTCCTTGGAGACTGAGGTGGTGGGAGGATTGCTTGAGCCCAGGAGGCAGAGGTTGCAGTGAGCCATCCATTGTGACACTGCACTTCAGCCTGGGTGACAGAGCGAGACTCCGTCTAGGAAAATAAAATAAAAGGAATAAAGAAACTCATTAACTCATTAACTTAGAGAAGATAATAAACCAAGTATAATCTGTAGAAAAACATTAATATTTTAGAAAATCTAGGGCAAATGCAAAGATGTAAGGGATTTTGATAAAACCAGGTTTAATCTTGACCTTGTACAGGTGGAGAAACTGAAGCCCAGAGGGTTTCAATGACTTGCTCAAAGCCATACAATTAATTTGTGGCAGGGTTTAGATTCTGTATGAGACCTTATTATTATTATTATTATTGGTCTATTTTTCTTGATTCTTCCATAGAGTGACAATAAAATGATCCTTCTTTTGACTTACCATATGTGAACTCGTATAGAACGTGTGCAAAGATAAGTCTAGGACAGGCTATCTCTAAAGTGTTAATAGGTTAAGGAAAAGATAGCTTTTATGGAGCATCTCTTCTCTTTTGTGATTTATAACAAGGATGACAGTTTTGTTGATTATAAGATGTGTCTTGCATACTGTCAGATGGAAATTGTAGTCTCACTAAGAAGAGCAACTTTACTGATTTTTATGAAACCACAATGGGATGCAGTAGGGGGAAGAGTGCTTAATTTCTTCCATGAAAAGAGAAAGAAGGCAACTGAGCCATGGTCAATGAATTAAAGTAGTTTATTTAACATTAATTGCAGAATTTACAGCACTACCATTTAATGATAGGAATAAAAATAGAAAGAATCCAGTGTAAGCGATGTCACAGACAAAACATCGGGGTAGGAAATGAGCAAAAGTGAAAACGCAATTAACATTCAAAGAAATCTTGCAAAAAGACTGGGAGCTTATCAGGAAGTGGGCATCCCCTTGATGATGAAGTGTGATCCTCATCCCCACCAGGATTTCAGGGCAGCCACCGAACATATACCCTGTTGACTATCCCTGGAAAGTCTTTCAGCACAGTCTGACTTAACATGTTTGAGATGAGGCAAAATCTGGCATATGCTTTGGAAATACAGCTCAGGGTGAAAAGACAGTAGTAGTGTGGATTTGTGTGTGGGTTTTCTTTTTCAAAACAGAAGGGACTGCAAATTTTAGGGATGTGTTTTCCTGATTTTAAACATGAGAGGTGATGTCAAAGGGATCAACTGAAAAGAACAGTTTAAAGTTTTCTCCTATGATCTTCTTGGGAATAATATCTGTGAAAGCAAGAAAATAAAGCAAGAGGCATATATGTGACTGACTCTCTGATCTCTTGTCCTTTTGGAATCTGGAAAGAGACCTATAAAAGGTAGTTGGGTTTGTACTAAAGAGCTGAGTTTCTAGAATAGCTACCTAGAAGGCAGGTTGCAGAGTATGGTCTTTGAGCATATGGTCAAAGGAGGCTCACACTCTATAGCCATTTTCCCATAATTTAACGGGTCCCATCTTAAATTTTAAAACTTTAAACAGACCTGGGACAAATTCTTCTCTCTTTACCTTCTCCTTTCTTCCCTCATTATAGTTACCTTTCAATACCATCAAGCAGTGAACAGTATAGAAGAGAGGATGCAAATCCTGCAGGCCAGCAGGTGAAACTTAAAGGTATTTTAAATAGCAAAAGTAAACACATCTGAGGCCAGGGCCTAAAGTGGGAAAAGAACCAGGACTGACTTGGATTCTGAGAACAAAACTCGATAGAAGAAAAGACACTGAAACTTGTTTTCACTCATTTTGGTAGAAGGATAGTTTCTCTTGTAATAATTCACTGACCAAGGAAGGATCTACAATACCTATGTTAATAAAGTATAATCTTGGTGGAAATATTTGAATAAAAAGAATGAAAAAAAAAACTGGACAGGCTCTTTCTCTCTGGTCCAGGATAACACTTTTAAGAAATGCAAAGGATGAAGAAGAAAACTCATTGAAATGCTGGTCAATCCCTAATTATCTTTTTTCATGAAGCTCTTTGGCATCCTAGACCTGGGGAGAAACGACTGAACTGCTCTTGGATTGAAGGAAGATTAGGTGATGGAAGATATGAATTAAAAGAGAAACCAACCCCAAGAATTTGCTGTTATCATCTGAGTCCCTGCATCTAAACTTCAGTGGTTACTTATTATCAGTGTGAAGCTTGTGTTTTTATTTCAGAAATTTCAGTATGCCAGGTGTTTTCCAGCCTTTCATGGTAAGAAGTCTGCTGGCTCCACTTGGACTTATGTAACTAAACAGTATAGCAAAGAAAGGAAATCATATCCTACCTTCAAGGAAGTATCTGTTAATGATATGACTACCCATCCAATTGCCAGATAGTCTTTGGATTTCTTTTCTTCCCAGATGGCAGGATCCTTATCATAATCTGAAAGAAGTTTCCTAGAGAGGAAGCGGACTCTTAAGCTAAAGACCAAATTGGACCAAAGCAAAGGATATAGGGGGAAAAAAACCCACAAACTCTGCAACTTTTTGAACAGGACTTTCAAGCAGAGGTAAAGTAGGCATGGATGAGTCATGTTTTTGGCTGGGGCAACAGCTGTGGCTCAGCCTGTCCCCTAAGACACATCAACAGCACAGGCAATGTGCACCGCCCCTGCCCCCTGAGATGGGAGCAAGGCACAGGGAGATAGCAGGGTCTCCTTTTCCCTCTTATATTATCCAGATCAATGAATTGAGAATAATTAAAATATAACCTAGAAACAAAACAATAGAAAACCCCATTCCATGCTTTGTTTTCTAAATAATCATCTCCAAAAGGTATAGACAGGATAGTTAAACAAGATGCAGAGGCTGGTGGGAAGGGGCCTTCTGATCTGAAAGAGCCCCACTGGATGGGGAGTACCTGGACCCTTTGCAACCCCAGGATGAAGGAAGAAGCCTTTGTTAATGTCCCAGGTGAAACCACCAGATGGGCTGCAACCGCCTTGATTGGGTAGAGTGCAAGGTAGGGAAAGGGGAGTGCCTGGTGAGCCCCAGAAGATTCAAGGTTACTATTTTTTTTTTCTTGCCTTTCATGTATGAATTGGAGTCTGCCTTCATGCTGGCACATGCTCAAGACCAGGGGATTGCAGTGAAGTGTTGGCGTCCAGAGAGAGTGAGGTTAGAGAGTTTTGGCCCAGTTCTCTTTAAAGCTGACAGATATAGAGGTCTCTTCCTAGTATCAAAACCCACCTTCCAGCCCATGATCTGCCTTTTCCCAGGCCAGGCCTATGTTTCCCCAAGAGGGCAGAGGGGAAAACCAGGCCAAGCTGAGGTCATTTCGTAGTTTTGTGTCTCCAAGGAAAAGGGCATCCACTGGCACAAAGCATTGAGTAAAAACCCTTGAATAACAAAATAACAACATTCACCATGTAGCTACTTCAGTTGTCTGGAAAACTCAGCTTATACTTGATTCAACATACCACTTTCCACAATATTTAAAAAAAAAAAAAGACATAAAATGGCATAACAAAATACACCTTGGATTTCATAAGACAAGTCTTCTTGGCAAAGTGTAACGAGCCAGACCCATGCATTGCCTGTGGTTAAAAAAAAAAAAGCGGCGGGTGGGGGAGGCTGGGTACACTCATGTCTCAAACACCGCTCTGTTTTCTTTGGTGAAGCCAAAGAAACAAAAATGCATTTGAACTTGGTAGATTCTATAATATCTGCATTAAGAGGAACAGTTTGTGGGTTTGTGGGTGTCAGGAAAACTTTGCTGATGTGTGGTCTATACATGTATCAATCTGGTAATTCCTCATTCTAATAAAGAATTTTTTTCTTTTCTGTGATACACACTGCCACACTGATAATATGTATATGAATATTTTCCTTTTCGTATCTCCAGATGATGTTTATTGTCTGAGATTAATTCCCACCAAGGTTTGCTGTCAGTATTTTAACACCTACATTAGTATATGGGTCCAGGGTCATAACCCCCTAAAAGCCATCATGCAACCTTATTAATCTGTCTTGGGATTCCAGTTTAGTGCTTGGATTTATTTCCTGATTACACTACACAGAAAAGTAGGACATCTACCATCCCAACTCTAGGAAAACCATCTCGTATACAACCGTATGAATGAAGGCCATCTTGATGGTCTCAACACTAATTTTTATGATGCAAATTTATAAACTGATTTTTGTAAAGGACAAGGTTTTAAAAGCATCTTTAACTTGATGTTTTCTATCAGCATAAATAAAACAGTCATGAATAGTCATTAAAACCGGTTGCCAGTGATAATCTGCATGAAGGAAAAAGAACCCTGCGAATGGCTATTGAGTTGGAAGTACTGTTTTTGATACGTAAGAGATATTCAGAATGCTCACACTGAAAACGCCTCAGCTTTTTAAAGTATAAGAAACTACCGTGAGTGGTGTCTAGATTTCTAATGAAAGAATGCGAAATAACAACGTAACAACATTCACCATGTAGCTACTTCAATTGTCTGGAAAAAAATGAGGATACAATTTGGATTAACTATCTTGGACTGGTTTTAAATAGTGCTTTCTACTGGATTGGCCGAAGCATCTAAACAGCCTGGTATCCTGTGAGAGTTTGTTATTTTCTGAGTAGACGTTCTTAAAGAGTATTGTCTTTAAAATCAGATTGTCTCTTCTATATTGAAAGCATTTTTATGTTTTCTAATTTAAAAATTAATATTTTCTTATAGATACTGTGCAATAAAGCTGAAGTAGAATGTGTGGTTTTTGTAAATGCTTTAACAGTTGATAAAATTTTACATTTGTAAAATTAATATATTGTATTGGTACGAAAGTTTTAAATTATATTTTTAAAAGCTTACAAAAAAATAAAGCTTCTCTGTGATATTACATCCAAATCCATTGCTTTAATGACTTGGTGTCAATGTTCATAAAATATTACACAGTAAGTAAAATGAAAAGTGTATTGAGGGGAGGTTATTCCAAATGGCAAGTAAAAAAGAAAACTAAAACTATTTTTATATACTCTATATTGTTTCTGATGCTATAATCTTAAGTTTCATGTAAAAGTCTATCTGCCCTATTATAATCACATAAAGGTTATGTATTTGTGTAGATAAGGATTAGAAAGGGAAGTGAGAAGGCATACTTAGATGTGCGGTCTGGTGGATACATGAATATGTCCTGCGTGTTTACTCAGCTTCCCCTCCTTCGGGAAACCTTCTGCCCCTTGCTGTAGTCTGGAGAAGCATCAGTCACGGTGCCTTCACCTTCGCTGTGGGCTTGGGGCCCAGGCTGCATCCCAGTCTCCCAGGCACAGTTTCTGTGTCACAATCATTCTGGAGACTTCCAGTCAGCAAGGAAGCCTGCATCTTTTGACTGGATGTTGGTGGTTAATTTCCGGGCAGAGCCTGCCATCAGGATGAAGTCAATCACAGAGAGAAGCAAGGCTAATAGATGAAGAGGGATTCTGAGCCCTCCAACGTCATTTGAATTCCTGGATCCTGCTGTGCCTGAAACTACATCTACCCTTTCAGAGTCCCCAATTACGTAAGTCAATAAATGTCTTCTGTTGTTTAAGCTACTTTTGAATTTGGCTTCTATCATTTTTAAACAAAAATGCTGACATAGGCTGGGAGTCATGGGCAAGAACAAAAAAAAGAATGTCTGTTTAGAGTTCCATTAATGATGCTGCAACACTGATAGTTAAAAACTATTCCCACCCCCAACACACAAACACATATGGAACGAATTTAAGTGTGAGGACATCCTCCCCCATCCCTCATAAGAGAAATCGTGCCAATTGGCCATATTAATAGAGTTTTTTTAAATAAACTTTTCTGTATTAAAAAGCAACAGTCTGAAGTATTGTCCAACGTTAAGTGCTGCTTAATGCAAATCCCTGGTGGAAAGGAGCAGGGCACGCCCTCAGCGAAGGTCATACGATGGGGGGCAAAATGTTTGTGTTCTTTGGGGAGGAATTTTTGCTCTGTCCCGTGGGGGTCATGGACACTTCTGCCCCAACAGCTGCCTCTGACTTCGAGGGAGCTTCTACCAGTTGAGGCAGCTGAACAGTGTCAGCTGTGCGCTGGCGAGAGTCCTGCTGATCACCTGAATGCTGAATATGCTTCACGGGGCCATCTTTTGTTTTGTCTGTAGCCTCTCTGGTGATCTCATCTGCTGAAGGAGAGAGAAGGCAGAAAGAACAAGCATTCAAATGCGGATTATATGCGAACCGTCCTTTGGGCTGTAAATCACTTAGTGGAAACCATGACTGTGATGATATAAAAACAGCTCATTTGTAAAGCGCATTCCATGTGCCAGGCATTATTCTAAGCACTTTATGTGTACTAATTCATCTGATCATTTCAGCGACCCTGGAGAATAGGCATTATTCTCGTTCTCATAAATGGAGCTACTGAGCTACAGAGAGGTTAAGTCCATACCTGATCAGCGGTGGAGCCAGAATTTAATCCCAGGCAACCTGACTCTTGTGACCATGTGCCTAACCACTAGGCTATATTGCATATAAAAAATTGCATAATACCATTTTCTGGCACTGACAGAAATTCTAAAGGTACCCCTTATAGGGCATTAAGGGGTGGACACAGTTAAGGAAAAGGGGAGGAGGAGAAAGGAAATTGATTATAGGAGAATAATGGAAAATCCTAATAAGGAGCAAAAAAGGAAAATCGCAAAGGTAAGACATGGCAGGCTTCCCAGACTATGTAGGGAATGGGACTGGCTATTTGACAGGCTGTACCTTTTTTGCTCAAGTGATGACAGCCTTGAACCTTGTTCTTCCTTGTCTCAGAGGAGAAAACAAAACTGGATTTCCTCAGGTTCTGGGGCCTGGCCTTGAGGTTCCTAGACTGATGAATCCAGGCATGCTTGAGGGCCTGGTCCGGGGTCATGCGAAGAGAAGGTTCCCATCTGCACCCCAACAAAGCCCAGCATGGGTTACTGTTTTACTTCCTTTTAGTATATTAAAACATTTAAAAAACCCAATGAATATTTTTATTTAAGCTATGTTGATATCTCAAAGATATCATCATAGAACAGAGATTATGGCATATAACTTAAAAGTACCTGGAAACAGCTATTGAAAATAATCTTTTTAGAAGATGTGTATAACAAGCCAGGGAATATATATTACACAAGTCTTCCAGAATGCCTAGAAATTCCCTTATAAGAAATATTATTTTACAAAAGCTTAATCAGTGGGATTTAGGTTTTGGTAAGCTAAGCATATTAAAAACAAAGAGATGCTTAATTTCAATTTCCAGACTACAGAATTGGGGCTTCCAAATATATTGCAAGAAGAGTTATAGAATTCTAGAATATTAAGATTTGCAAGGGGACTTGGATATAATCAAATCAAACTTCTAATTCAGTAGCAGAATACATTGACCAAACTCCCACCATGGGATCACCCTACAATTCTTGAGTAATTTCAGTGACAAGGTACTAACTCTCAGAACCATCTATTCCAATTTTTTAAAACTCTGATTCTTTGAAAGTTCTTAACTTTTATTGTACCAAAACTGGTTTGCTTCCCAGTAACTTGAACCTAGGTCCTGATTCAACCCATTAGCATCATACAAAGTAACTAATTCTTATTTTATGTTTCAGCCCTTCAACTATCTGAAAATATTTACATCGCCACTAACTAATGATTATATGACATGGTTTTCGCCATCTGGCTACCTTCTGAGATAAGGATATTTTAGCAGTTGTCTAACTAATGTCCACATGGTGGGAATAGCTTCTATAACTGCAGGGAGACAGTATTAACATTCTAGACTAATCAAGATCCTAAACAGCTCAAGCTCTCATTTCTGAGTCAAATGAACTGCTGTTAAACAAACCTCTCCTTTCCTGGACTTTTGGAGTTAGCCTACAATGTCTAAACACCAGGCTTTACATTTATGCCTACTGAACTTGGCTCAACACTTTTAGTCTCTCATTCTAAGATTTGCTAATTAGTAATTAGGTAACAGTCCCCATCAGCTTGACTGCCTCTTGCAAGTTATGAGTAATCAGTCCTTTGCACTAAAGAAGAAAATAATGTGGCTGGGCATGGTGGTTCACGCCTGTAATCCCAGCACTTTGGGAGGCCAAGGTGGGCGCATCACGAGCTCAGGAGATTGAGACCATCCTGGCTAACATGGTGAAACCCCACCTCTACTAAAAATCCAAAAATGTTAGCCAGGCTTGGTGGCACGTGCCTGTAGTCCCAGCAACTCCAGAGGCTGAGGCAAGAGAATCACATTAACCTGGGAGGCAGAGGTTGCTGTGAGCCAAGATCACACCACTGTATTCCAGACTGGGCGACGAAGCAAGACTACATCTCAAAAAAAAAAAAGAAAGAAAGAAATGAAAATAATGTCTTCCTTGGTGCTGAGCTGTGTTCTGGATGTTGGGGTTTCTGGATAACCCATCTGTCTCAGCAACTGGTTTCTGTTTGTTAAGGGAGAGGTAAAGATGGGGTATGGAATCCTTCTCTTCCTTGATTATTCTGATAAGTGAATCTCGTGACCCTCTAAGTTGGGAATACTTTCAACGCTACCTCATGGTTCCCCCTCTGAGCTAGTACCAAAATTCCAGAGTGCACAGAGGCCAGAAGAGTATTTTGCTAACACCTCTCCATCCAACTGGAAGAAAAAGAGAATATAATGATATGGTCTTCTAAAAATACTAAATTATAGGACTGATAGAACTGGAAGGGAGCTTAGGAATATCCCATTTTATAGGAAAGGACACTGAGGCCCAGAAAAAAGTGATGACTTGCCAAGGATCACATGGATAATGCACTTGCTACTCAGTGGAGACAGATTTACCTCTTAAACAGTTGTAAAATAATAACAACAGCTAACATTTTCTAAACACCTTTTAAGCTAGGCACTGTGCTCAGTACTATGACTTAAGTATAGATCTAATCTCTAAGATTCAAAACATGCATATAGGTTGTAAAAAATTTTACATAATAAATGGTTTACAGCTCACCCTTCCCCTAATTCTCTACTATAAGAGGATTTGGGTACTAAATCCTAGGGGGTTAGGGACAGGCCCTGAAACCAGTTTAAACTGGATGTGTATGCAAATCATTACAACAAGCACTCAGGAGCCTGGCTTCAGCTCACAGAGCAGGATACTTAAGACTGGCCTACGGTCTCGCTGCCAAGCTGTTTGAGGCCAGGAAGATGCTAAACTCTACCACACGCCGTGTAATCAAGGGCAAGTCACTTAATCTCTTTGAACCACAACCTCCATACCTGCAAAACAGAGCAAATCACCTGCCCTGAGAGCACACAGTAGGGAGAGAGAGACGTCTGATGAGTCAACACATGTAGGAGCAATTTGTAGACTTCAAAGGTCTATCGTTAGCATTTCTTGTTACTTGTATAACTGTCTCCCAGCCTTAGACTTTTACCAGCAAACGTGTGTGAAAGGACAGCGTTTAAGAGGAAACCCAGAGGCAGAGATATTCCAACAAACTCACACCAAACACCTTCTGAGAAAGTCCAGGAAGCTGGTGTCATAGGTTTTCAGCACCATCGTGAGGTCCTTGGAGTCTGGGTATCTTTTCTTCCCCTTGTTGTTGGTTATACTTTTAGGTAAGCCTTTGGAATCTGTAGAGATAAAACATTCTGTATTTAGTTCCAGGCGTAAATATTTAATGGTCACATCATGCTGCTGCTTAGAGTGGCCTCTGTGGCTGTTTTGCTCTTGGTCTTACACACTCGCCTCATGCCACCCTCCAATAAACATACACACAAGCACACCCACAGTCTCAGTTTGAAATAACCATGTGTAGATTGTCCAAGGAATACAATTAACTTTAAAAATTTATATTTTTCTACTATTCAGTATGTTCTGAGCTTCCTTCTACTACCTCCTCTCCAAATCAAATAGTTTAAATGGTTTAGCTCTAGCCGAGATAAGACAACCCTAACGATGACAATAACAATAGTAAAGTGAAACTTAAGGGGCAAGGTCCTGTGAAATCGCACAAATATCCATTTCCTTTTGAATCATGGCCTTAGCCCTCCCACTTCATCCTACATTGCCCTTTTTATGAATGACCAAAGAAGAATCAAGCTCACAGTCTTATAAATAACAAAGCCCGTAAAGTCATGGTCATGTCATCGTTTTCCTGTGTAAGTTTTTCTCACTCTAGCCCTCATGCCTCATTCCGTCCATCCCCTTCTTACGGCCTGGGCCACCTCAGTATAATATCTTACCAGGCTTAAGACAACACCATTTTGCTGCTAATTAGGGGTTTTAACCAGGAGTTTCCAGGGGCTGAGGAGCTGTTGGGAGCCCAAACCTGGGAAAGGGGGAGTCAAGAAGTGAAGAGAACAATGTTTCCCAGACTCATCTTGTCATAAGAACCACAAGGAGCTGTTATTAAAAATATTAAATCCTGGGTCCCATCTCGATCTTCCCATAGCATACGTTATAGAAGAGAATCATAGGAATTAGCTTTTTTAGCAAGCTCCCCAAATGATTCCTACATTTGGATAAAGTTTGGAAAACACTGACGAGGATGCATTTTTCTCAGCAACATTCCTTCTTTTGCAGGAAGCGAAGATACGGATGTTGCTGCAAAAATCCCATCACCATCCTAAAGCCTAGTGCTGATGGTAGAAATAAGCAACTCTACGAAGTGGACACGCCCATGTCTTCAGTACCTTCCCACGAAGGTGCTCTGTGCTTCCTTCCTGCTAGTCCCCACCTAGATGCTATCGCATAGTTCAGTGTTACAGGCTCAAAATGTGTCTTCCCACAGTGACTCTGTCTAGTCCAAGAGCCTGAATTATTAAGTTGTGGGTAGAAAAAGTATATTTGGGATCCACAGACTAGTTCCCTTGCTCCATGTGTAAGTTATAATGGGGTGCCAGACAGAACCTCTCTGCCCACCACCAGATTGCTCGGTTAATGTGTGGGCACCATTCTGCGGCAACCAGGACACTGCCCTGCTCAGAAGCAATGTCTCCAAAGCTCCAGCCATGATTACAAGGCAATGCTTAAAAGAGTTAACAATTGGAATGAATGGCATGGGACCAACTAATCAGAATGAAGACAGCCGTGGCACTGGGATAGGATCACCGAGCACCTCCGCTTGCTTGGCCTTCAACTTTGAGATTTTTGGATCATAGGGAGTCTAAGGAGTCCTGGGAGAGGGCCAGGGAACCTGCAGCTGTGGCAGTGCTCAGGGCTGTGGCTTTTTACGAAATGGTAAAGAAATAGACAAATTATAACCCCCACATGGCTGAATCAGTGCACACTGACCAGAGTGACTCAATCCCTTTTGTCCATGAGGAAGTTTTGGACCTTCCTACTGATGGGGCGAGTTGTGAACAGAAGTTGTGTGATTTGCACACACATTCAGAGGCTGCTCGCAGCTGAAATTCAGAGGTGGGAGGACCAGGAATGTCTGGGATTGCATAGTCGGAGGGAGTCCATGAACCGACCTGACGATGGCTGGTTAGAAATGTCACTCCAGGTAGCGTGGAGTCGCTGTCTATGGAGCTCCCTTTTGCTCCTGTCTAGCTTTGCTCCACTTTGCTGACCTTCAGGCTACTTTGGCTGTTTCTATCCTGGACACTTAGCTTCCAGTGGTTCTTTACAGGGATTTTAGGTTTGGGACTTGCTGCAACTTTTTGGTGCATGTGCCTTGAAAGCGCTGCCTCAGTTCGTTCCTTGTTGACCCATCCTCCCTCTTGTGTAGCACCATTTAAATAGAAAGGCAGCGGATCATAAAAATCCAGATTCTGGGAATCAGTAAGGAGGGGCAGCCTGGGCTGTGGACAAAGTTTACTCCCTGCAATCAGACAAATGACATACATATAACTCCCAGCCACAACTCATCAAAGCAAAACTACTCTGATGGTCCTTGCTTAACCATTGCAATGAACCTGGCACAGTGAGGATCTGGCGGATAAGAAGACTTTTAGCAGGGGAGACAATAATGCAGCAATGCAGGAATTTCACTATTCTTGAAATGAAGCTTCTGCTCTTTGATTTCCCTGCACAGTGCACAGTGTGAGAGGACAAGTTGCTTGGGAGAGTGAGGAGAACTTCCAGGAGAGGATGCAGTTACAGTATTTTGAGGCTGTAATACTTGCTGATAGCTCTTCTCAACAGGGATCTAGCCATTCTCTTTCTTCTGCACATTTTTACTGTCAAGATCCCATTCCCATTGTGGCTGCCCCATCCCATCTCCACCATGCTATCTGGGTCCACTGCTCATTATCTTTTACTTCTGCGGAGGAAGCTCTTAATCACAGCCCACCCTTTGGTATGGCCAGGGGAAAAGAAAGAAATGAGCTTTAAGGTATGGCAGGTGTCTTCGAGGCCTGCAACACTTCATTAGACACAATAAGGAAAAGAGAGTTAGACCTGAGGACTCACCGAAAAAGGTCTGTCTCCTGGAGGCCGTCTGAATGAAGCGGGCTGGCGGCAGGCCCAGCACCTTAATAAGGACAATTCAATTGATTCACTCTTTGTGGGATCAGAGATTCAAAGACCGAGGGGCAGGGCATACTTTGGCCAGGCTTTGCCTTCTACATATAAGGATTTAACGTATTAAGTAATAACATCGGGTGAGTAGCCGAGCAAACCCAGAGCCTGGGCCTTTTAACTCCTAATCCAGAGCTGGTTTCATATGCTAAGAATCAACAGCGGCCATGTTATTCTAAACAGACATCAGCACCAACTAGAGGTGGGCCACCACCTTGATGGCAGCCAGATGTCCTTGCCAGAGCAAATAAACTGGTATATGTGCTGCCACGCCTGAACTAAAGAGTGACATGTCCCAGCATGGAGCACTGGAAAGGGAGGAGAATAGAAAATGAAAATCACCAGATGAGCATCAGACAATTACAAGACAAACACCTTCTTGAAAGGAAAAGTGTAGCACCTACTTGTTCATCTTCTCCTTCTGCAACTTAGAGGGGCGCACAGAGATAAGGAAGTTACAGTGTGGGTCACCTACCCTTGCTGCTCAGTTCCCAGCCATAATCCATGCATGATCCTGCTCTTCTGTTCCTCAGCCCCTTTGACACTGAGGTCAAGAGGAAGCTGAGTCAGTTCTGGGACTGTAGGAAAGTGGAAACATAGGCCCCATTTTCTCTGGCATTGGAAGCAGGAGTGGTCTGGGGATGCTTCATTCCTTACCAACCTTAGAAGCCATCTACCCGGCTCCCCTCATTTTATAGTCCAGAGCCGGGAAATGAGTGGTCAAAAAGACGGAGCCAGAGCGAGACCCCAGGTTTACTGACTCACAGGCCCATGTTCATTCCACCATGGCTGCTTCTACCTCGATTATTTTCATATTTTATTAATAGTTTCAATCATGAAATGAAATTCTCTATGTTTAGTCATTCTCAAGGCTATATGTGTTTCTGTAACTTTGAGACAATCTGGAAAATAGAAATTTGACAAAGATAGATAGATAGACAGATAGACAGACACACACCTGTTCACTGGGAAAATCCTAAAATGTAAAATTTTAAACTTTTAAGGTTATTTTTCTATTTTGTCTAATTTAGTTCCATAACAAGGTGGCTTTCAAGTGAAAGCATAATAGATCTAATTCATAATCATAACATGAGTTTTGGTAAAGCCTTGCTACTGGGAGATAGTTTTCCCAGAAAACTCATTTCCCACAGTGAATGACTACTACCTGAACAATACACATATTTTGAAGTCAAATAATTTCCAATTCTTTGTTTTTAACATTTTAATCAGGTTGTCAGCTGACAGGATGGTAAACATAATTTTAAATGACAGATCACCATTTGATTTTTACATAGAACTCAAAAGGAGTCACCAAATTAGACAGCCTTAACTAGAACAGGCTTCCTCTCTGGGTTCACATCTGCACCACCAAGCAATTGGAATCACACTGATTCTGAGCCTGGGCATTCTAGTAAGAAGCATCATTCACCTATGGGTAGAAGCATTAATTGGAAAAAGAAAACCTGGCTCTATTCATTTTTCTAAGAGCTGTATGCTCAATAAAATTTCACATTTTACTTTTGATAATTATAAAAATTTGCACACCAGATATATTTTAACGGTAACTTACCAGAAAAAAATTTTTACACATGAAGCTTATGGAATCAGGAAAATTTTAAAGCTATAAAGATGATAAAAGTTTCTGAAAGGCAGGTGCAGTGGCTCACACCTGTAATCCCAGCACTTTGGGAGGTGGAGGTGGATGGATCACAAGAGATCGAGACCATCCTGGCCAATATGGTGAAACCCCATCTGTACTAAAAACACAAAAGTTAGCTGGGCATGGTGGTGTGTGCCTGTAATCCCAGCTACTCAGGAGGCTGAGGCAGGAGAATTGGCTGAACCCAGGAGGCGGAGGTTGCAGTGAGCCGAGATCATGCCACTGCACTCCAGCCTGGGCGACAGATCGATACTCTGTCTCAAAAAAAAAAAGTTTCTAAACATAAGCATATATTAAATTAGAATAAATTCCATAGAGGAAGTAAAGAAAATAGTAAAAACAAGAAGCAAAAAAGAACAAAGCAAAATAAATGTACAACTCTTAAGAACTTGTTCACATACTTTCAGATAGATTTTAATGGGTGTCATGTCACTCTGGTTTTGTATTCTTTTGGACATTTCTGAAAAGGTGGTGTAACACTTTTATTTTAAAATGTCACTATTTACAGTATGATGGAAATGACATCCTCTGCAACTATTTAAATTTAAGATAAAAATGTTAGATGTCAACCTGACAATGTACAAGGGGGTACACAATTTCAAAACTACTTTTAGGAAACACCCAACCAAAGGGGGAAAAAAAAAAAAAAAAAGTAGGCAGGCCATGGTCCTGGGCAAGTCTGATGCAGCCCAGGGTCTGAGAGCCAGCCCACGGTCTCCGTGGGAGCCGACCTCCGGCCAGCCCTCCCCGTACCTCCATGATGCAGGCCAGCTGCTCCACCTCATTCTCCCCTGGGAACAGGGGGGAGCCCGTGTACAGCTCTGCCGTGATGCAGCCCAGGCTCCACATGTCAACGGCCATGTCGTAGGGGTGGCCCAGGATCACCTCTGGGGATCGGTAGAACCGGCTTTGGATGTACGTGTATTCTGCGGAGGCAAAGCGAGAGAAACCTCGTGGGAAAAACTTGGCGCTCTGCAGAACACGCTCCTCCAGGACGCCTTCTCGGGGACGCTGCGCCCCCGCTGGCAGGGACGGGGAGTGCAGCCGGCCGGCACTTGGGAGTCCCGTTACACGTAACAGCATCAAACCCGCACAGTAACCCAATCACAAGGGAGGTGTTACCGTCCCTGCTTTGTAGATAACGAACTCCAACGTGGGCATTGTTGTAGGACAGTGAATTTAAGTTAGCCAAGTTTACAACAAACAAAACATAAGACAAATATAAGACTAAGTTTTCAAAACTGTCAGCTTAATTTGGGGTAGACAGCTTCTGAGTCTTGCGGCTTGGCAATGGGAGAAGCGTGTCGAGTTGGAAAGGAAGCGTGCGAAGTGTATATTCAATACAGTGTGTGCACGTATTGTATGGAAAGAAAATCTCAACAGATGAGGATGAATGGACTGAAGTTGAAGAAGTTGAACGCGGTAGTTATTTCCACATAACTGGGATTACTGGTTACCTGGGGAGGTGCAGGGATTCTGTAATCACTTCTCTGTTGTTTAAATTGGTTACTGTCAGAAGATAATAATTCTGTGATTTAAAACAAAATAAAGATTTAATAAAAATAATTTTTTTTCCATCCAGACTTTGATGGAACAGAAAATAGGAGACGATCAATTCATTTCTTCAAGATGTAACTTTGGTATTCAAACAGGATAAAGATACACACACACAAAACCCTACAGACTGGCCTCACTTAAGACCAGACATATAGAAATCTCACATAGATCTGTAGCAAATTAAAGACCACAAATTATTTAATTTTAAAAAATGTTAAAAATTGAAACAAAATCCAAAGAAAAAATTTAAAATCATCCATATCTTTAGTTTAAAAAGATATTTATGTAAAGTAAAAAGTTGAAAATTCAATCCCAGGCTCTTCCAGGTTCATCTCTAGTGATCACCACTTTTAACAGTGTGGTGCAAATCCTTTTACATCTTATTTACACTTATCTATTTACATCTCATAAGTTTTATTACTCAGTTTTTTCCACTTGCTTCATCATGGACCTCTTTCTAAGCCATTACATTTAAATCTCTCTTTTCAAATAGCTGTGTGGTATTACAGGATTAATTTATTAAACCATTTTTCATTTGTAGATGTTTAGGTTGGTTCTGATGTTGCACTAGTTAACAGTGCTGCAGTGAAGATGTTCATTCTGTGGGAACATCAGTAGTCTGTAGGAGAGGTTCTTTAGAAGGGAATTTATAATTTTTGAAGGTTCAAAGTGAAATGTTTGGTTAAAGATGCAAAAGTAACCTCCCGAAAGATAATATGAATCTGTAGTTCCTCCAACAGTGTGCGGGGAGTGAACGCTTTATCTGCTCCTCCAACAGTGTGCGAGAGTGAACGCTCTATCTGCTCCTCCAACAGTGTGTGAGTGAACGCTCTGTCTGCTCTCCAACAGTGTGCGAGAGTGAACGCTCTGTCTGCTCCTCCAACAGTGTGCGAGAGTGAACGCTCTGTCTGCTCCTCCAACAGTGTGTGAGTGAACGCTCTGTCTGCTCTCCAACAGTGTGCGAGAGTGAACGCTCTGTCTGCTCTCCAACAGTGTGTGAGAGTGAACGCTCTGTCTGCTCCTCCAACAGTGTGCGACAGTGAACGCTCTATCTGCTCCTCCAACAGTGTGCGAGAGTGAACGCTCTGTCTGCTCCTCCAACAGTGTGCGAGAGTGAACGCTCTGTCTGCTCTCCAACAGTGTGCGAGAGTGAACGCTCTGTCTGCTCTCCAACAGTGTGTGAGTGAACGCTCTATCTGCTCCTCCAACAGTGTGCGACAGTGAACGCTCTGTCTGCTCCTCCAACAGTGTGCGAGAGTGAACGCTCTGTCTGCTCCTCCAACAGTGTGCGAGAGTGAACGCTCTATCTGCTCCTCCAACAGTGTGCGACAGTGAACGCTCTGTCTGCTCCTCCAACAGTATGCAAGAGTGAACGCTCTGTCTGCTCCTCCAACAGTGTGCGAGAGTGAACGGCTAACACTGGGTGTAATTTAATGTCTTATTTTTTCTTCAAATTAATGATATCTATGATTGTATATGATCACGTACAAGAAACAGTAAGAAATAGATAGAGGTCTCTACCCCTAGTATTTGGCACAGAGCTCCTAAAACCTTTTTAATTTCTTGAGGGATAGGGGTTCCACATGTATCTCTTGCTCTAATAATTGACCTTTTATTCTGGATTCTGACACAGAACTCCTAATCCCCGGGAACTTCTTAGGTGATAGGACTCTCTTTGTTCTGGTGAGATGACTCTTGGTGAGCTCCTGGACAGGGGCTGGCTGCCAGAAAGACTAAGCCATGATTAGAAGCTTGGAACTTACAGTTCTAACTCCTTTCTTCTAGGAAGGGGAAAGGGCTAGAGATTGAGTTAATAATCTCAGTGACTATGTGATGAAGCCTTCATAAAAATCCCCGAGCTGCAGGGTACAGAGAACTTCCAGGGTATGGGAAATGTGATACTGAAAACGTGGCATGCCCCCAAGAGGGCATGGAAGCTTCACATCCCTTCCCAAATACTTGGCCTTGTGTATCTCTTCATCTGTGTCTTTTATTATATTATTTATTAATAAACTTGGAAATGTGTTCCCCTGAAAAAAAATTGATCTGCCAAGCATTTGGAAACATCCATCTAGCAGTCCTTTCTTCAGCCTCGAGAAGCTTCCTGTGACAGCCTCCGCCACCTCAAAGGCTGCTCCCAAAGTCCCTCGGTTATGTGTCCTGAACACAGCCATGTTTATCTCTAATCATTGTACTCATCATATTATTTTTATCTTTCTGTCTCTTGCATTAGTTGGTAAGCAACCTGACAACAGAGAATGTTCATTTTTTGTTCCTGGTACCCAGGACAGTGACTGACACAGAACAGATAATGTCTGTCTAATGATACATGTTCTCTATAGCAAACCTGATAGAAGGCAAAGGAACGCACTATTAAATCGAGTTCAGTAAATGCTGTGAAAATGTACACCAGAGCTAGTTTTTGGATCCTAGTAGAAAAAGTATAAAACCTACAGGATCTGGGGCAGCAAATTCCAAACTTCAGAATGACTATGGTTTCTGAAGTGCAGGCTCCTAGCTACTTCCCAGAAATCTGGATTAGGAACACGTTGGGTGAGGCCCTGGAAATAATAATTTTTCAGAGCCCCAAGGCAATTTGGATACGCATTTAGTTAGTTTTGGGACTCACCGTTCTTGGGTAATTCCATATCCACAGAATATGAGAGCTTGAAAGCACCCTTACAGTATTTGGATACAACTTTCTTGTTTTATTTTATTTTATTTTGTTTTTTGAGATAGAGTTTCGCTCTTGTTACCCAGGCTGGAGTGCAATGGCGCCATCTCGGCTCACCGCAACCTCCGCCTCCTGGGTTCAGGCAATTCTTCTGCCTCAGCTTCCCGATTAGCTGGGATTACAGGCACACACCACCATGCCCAGCTAATTTTTGTATTTTTAGTACAGACAGGGTTTCACCATGCTGACCAGGATGGTCTCGATCTCTTGACCTTGTGATCCACCGGCCTTAGCCTCCCAAAGTGCTGGGATTACAGGTGTGAGCCACCGCGCCCAGCCAACTTTCTCATTTTATAGATGAGGAAACTTGGGCTCAGAGAAGTGAAGTACCTTGCTCAAAATCATGCTGTAGGGGTGGTGGCTGAGCCCAGGCTAGAAGCCAGGTGACCTTGTATGTGAAGGGAGGGAAATTGCAATAGGAAAACTCAGATGACAGGACCGGCATGGGCCTACCTTTCTGGTTTTCATAACAGCTGGATCCGAAGTCAATGACTTTGACAGAGATTTGGCCCTTTCGGTACAGCACGATATTTTCCTAGAGAGAAGAAAAGACACACGTCAAGCTACGGTAACGCTGCCCGAGGCCCTCTGCTTACCTAAATGCTCCCCATCCTTCAGGGTCCAGTTCAAACATGACCACCTCCAGGGGCCTCCTCCCACATCCTCTCCCAAATCCCGTCCTCCTCCCCTCTGACTTTCCATTTGATTTGCGGTCGGTATTTCTCGTTTGGACCTCACACTCACTGCTTTGCAGAGTTTCTTTTGCATATATTGTGTCACTGTCCCCATATTGATTGTGCAACTCCTGAAGATTGTGACTTTGTGTTTATCTTCTGTGGCACCCGGTTCTAGGCCTTGCTTGCATAAGGCCTTAGACAAGCCATTGACTGAATTGGTTGGGCATTCCCATTAAACACCTCCCTTGACATACTGCTATGACAGTAGAGCACCAAAAAAATGTCAAAGGCAATGATTCCATCGGAGTTTGTGATTCTTACACAGCCTGGGGAATAGAATGGGTATTTTCAGCATTTCCATGCCAGGACGGAGGTGGTACTTACGGGCTTGAGATCGCAGTGAATGATTTTCTCCACGGAAAGCATTTGCAAGCACTTCAAAACAGAGAGAGTGAAGCGCCGGACTATCGACAGACTGAAGCCTTGAAAGCTGTTATTCTTCATCAACTCGTACAAGTTGATTCTGGAAAAGAGAGGGGGAAAGTGATGCATGTGGGGGAAGAAACAACAGAAGGCTGAGTTGGAACCTGCAAACAATTGTGTATCACCTGGTTTCCCTTGAGTAGGAGGCAAGCCTCAGACCAGGAGGCGGGGCTTTCATGTCTTACAGATTCGGCTTTCCCACTGAATCACTGGGCCCAGGGTGACGTTCAGCTGTGCCAGACTCTCATATGTTTTCTCATTTCTTACGTGACAAGGCCCTGAAGCACTTGGTTATGCAGGCGGGTTAAGAGGTTGGCCCAAATGTCTGAAATAGTCATAGTTCCTCAGGCCCTTGGGAGGGACCCAGGAAGCCCACCAGTCACTCAAACAAGTAGCCACTCCTGCCCAGGCCTAATGAGGACTGTCTGAGGACATCAGGCTCCTGACAAGTAAGGAACAAGAGCGTGGGCAGGTGGGGTCTGAAGCCAAAGGGAGCCCCTGCTCTACTCCAAATGTGGCTGTTTGGTCCCATCTACCTGTTCCCTTGAGAAATGAAAGCTCGCTCTTGCCAGAGAATCTTAAACTCTCTAGGGTGGCAGAAGCCTACTACATTATTTGAAGTCTACAGAATGTTAGAACTTAGGAATGTTAGACACTAATACAATACATTTGAAAAAGAAACATTTACTTGTGAGCTGCCAGTTGCAGCCTCCGTGCAAGCTGTGAGATGGGCAGAGAAGGGGATAGAACAGCCCAAGCACAGCGTCAGCCTGCCGCTGCTTCCTCCTCACCTTCCATTTCTAAGATCATCTGGCTTTGGTAGTATTTAGCAAGCCACTCATTCTTAATTTTTTTATAAGAGATGGGGTCTTGCTATGTTGTTCAGGCTGGTCTCAAACTTTTGGCCTCAAGTGACCTCCCAACTTGGCCTTTCAAAGTGCTGAGATTAGAAATGTGAGTCCCTGTGCCCAGTCAGAAGCCATTCATTTTTTTTTTCTTTTTCGAGACAGAGTCTTGCTCTGTTGCCCAGGCTGGAGTACAGTGGCATGATCTCAGCTCACTGCAACCTCCGCCTCCCAGGTTCAAGAGATTCTCCTGCCTCAGCCTCCCAAATAGTTGGGATTACAGGCACGCACCACCACGCCCAACTAATTTTTGCATCTTTAGTAGAGATGGGTTTCACCATGTTGGCCAGGCTAGTCTCAAACTCCTAACCTCAAGTGATCCACCTGCCTTGGCTTCCCAAAGTGCTGGGATTATAAGCGTGAGCCACCATGCCTGGTTGCCTTTCATTTTTGAGGGCTGCAATGGAGATGTGAGACCTGGCTCTGGCCCCATCCTAACTAGTCACCTGGGCAACTCCCTCATCTCTCTGGGCTTTGGGCTTTGGATTCCCCCTGCCCACCCCTGTCCCTCTGACTTCCCAGAGCTCTTTAAGCATAATGACATCCTAACTGTGCACTGTGATTCATGGCCAAGAAAGGCAGACTGGGCTGTCCTTTTAGCCACAGAGAACATAATTTACCTCTGCATATCAGAGTCTCAACCATACTTTGTAATAGCAGGTGAGGAGAGTGTCACCTTACCTGCTAATTTAAATGTAGCCGGATCCTAGAATTTTAGTATCAGCAGTGGTATCATGGGAGCACTGAGCTGCCAGCTTGCTGAATCCAGTAACACTCTGAGAGCTCACCCCTGATTATTCTCCTTTGCTAAATGCATTCTGGGTTTCTAGTTTTATGTAAATTGCATCAGATGGTCTTCCCAGAGAGAAAAATAATCAAATTAGCATGCCCTTGCAATTAGCAGGCCTTGTCAGCTCCAATATTCAGCCAGGCCACGCTGATCTATTTAAGTCAGGCTCTGCTCTCTTACCAAATATATCTGCTCTTGTCCTTATTTACTCAAAATCGAAAGCCTTTTCCCACCCTGAGCAGCCAGCTGCCTGTTCCTTTGGGTTTCAGCCTCTGTACGATCAGGTCTGACAGCCAATGAGTGCAGAATATGACAGCAAACAAAGAAAAGTCCTTTTGACTACTTCAGTTTAGCTCTTGAGGAAAGAGGGCTTGTTTTGGTTATGTCACCTAGCTCAGTCCCCAGCACCAGGGAGGTATGTCACAGGCATGCTGGCAGGTGACAGGCATATCGAGATGGCCCACATTCGTCCCAGCCTCCTTGCTCCTGGGCCTTCTGGATAACTGAGTGACTGTCAGGTCCATTCTAGTTATTTAATATTCACATCCAGAAAAATCTAGTGTTCTGACCGCCACGTTTCCCTTCTATCACTTAGGTAACTTTTCCAGAGCAAATGGGTTAGGAAGAAAAGGAGCTGACCCCAGGAGTTCGAAGGTGATGCAGAAGTGATTGCGAAAGTAGAAGAAGTCCTTCATGTGCACCACATTGCAGGCATTGTCTCTGTCCTTCCTTCTGAGAGCCTCCAGGATCTTCAGCTCCACCAGGGCCTGCTGGTGAAATCTGAGGTGATTGGGAGTGGCAGGGAGCGGGGGAAGGAGAGACCGAAACATCAGTGTCAGGTCACACTGCAGCCATCAGCTCCTCCCCAGGACCCCGGCAAGACTGTCTAGTGGGAGGAAGCACTGGAAACGCCGCGTTCTCACCTCCTCTTTCCCCCTCATGGAATCAGACAGGTAGAGTGAGAGAAAGGAAAGCCAAAGGGAGATGGGAGGGAGAGGCAGAGTCAGGAAGGGCTGTCATTCTTCAGGGGCCAGAGGCACGCAGTCCCTCCTCTGTGGCCTATGCCACTCCCCAAGCCACACCTCTTCTTGTTCTTGATGATTTTCAGGGCCACCAGCTCATTGTTTTTGTGATCCAAGCACTTGGCCACCTGTCCAAAGGACCCTTTCCCGATCATCTCCAGAACCTCATAGCGGTAGGCAATGTGATCATGCAGGACCTGTGGAAGCCAGGCCAGAGGTGAGAGGCAAAGCCATGGGCTCCAGGGCCTTCCTGGCACGGGACCCTGGCATTCCCATCCCCAGATCGTGGCTCACTCCTGGAGGAATTTTCTGACTGCACTGGTCACTTGTGTGACTCTTGCCCTCATCTCATTGCGACTGCAAGGGGAGCTTGTTGCCTGGATTCTGGGCCACCCACGTGGTGCCAGGAAAAGTCCCACAGGCTTGATCCATGTCAAGCAGCACAAAGAACACTGGATGGTTTTAGGAAACTTGAGATCTAGTCCCGGTATTGTAGCTCTACTTCTAGTCCTCTAGTTTTCTGAGTGTTTTAGGACCTATACAATATGAGAGTTGGACAAAGTAGCACTGAAGGTCCCTTTCAGTTTGGACATTTTATAAGTCTTGAAGCTAAGCAGCATCTTTGGTTTGGGGAAAGTTGTACTTATGACCCCTGATGTGTCTCTGTCAGTCAGAGAAGGATTTAGGTCTCCTCTGCCTCTTCCTGGCCAAATTTGGTTCCCCTTTGGGCTTACTGGGATTTAATCCTTTCCTGGAGTCAGCAGTACAGAACTCAGACCTTTCTTGGTGAAGAGAAATATTTCAAGAGCCAGAATCACCCATGTCTCTCCCTATGCTGGAAACTAGGGAACAGGGGGTTAATCAAAGCCACAGGAAATTTTCTATTTAAAAGACTTCAGCTTTAGACAAGCCATTTATTCATTCTGAGCTGCAGGGATGTTGTCTGTAAACTGAAGACGCTGGGTAAGATTATCTCTAAGGTCCTCAAGCTCTGTGGATCTCTAATTTCTAGTGTTACACTCATGAGTCTGGGAGAGGTGAAGGATTAAGTGTTTGTGGGCAAGTCCTCAGGATATGTTTGTAAATGTGTGCTGGGAGTCCGTTCATACAGGAGGAATCAAGACTGAATTTGAACATGTACAGCTTTCCTGATGTAAGGATGTAGGTTAGTCTGTAAGGGTCTGTCGTGAGAATGTATGGGAAAAGGACAGGGATGGGATCCGCACACATGTTGCTATAAAATTACATATGCGTTTTCTTAGCATTTGTGCTAGCCTTCTGCATACCACCACTTTGTGTCATAATTGTTTGTTTGCATGTCAGCTTTGACATTGATTGTGGTTAGTTGAAAGCAAAAACCATTTTGTATTCATTTGTGATAGCTTCCTTTATATTTCCAGAGTCCAGCAGATGTCCAAGCTTATGACAGATTATCACTCAATACATAGGCATTCAATTAACATTGGTTGACAAAATAAAGTGAGAATGCAGCTAGGCTGCTGGCTTGGGAATTTGGCTATGTGCAATATGTATTTGCATGTATACTGGAATGCAATAAGGATGGTGATTCTGAGCTTACAGAGAGCACACATTATCCTCTTCCCCCCGACACCCCCTCCCCCACCCCGAAAACCAAGATTTGAGACTGAAGAACTGAGCTCCAATGAATTAACTTAAAAGTAGTACTGACACCCTTAGGGAATTCCCAGAGACCCTAGGCTCAGGTAGGAGCAGAGAAGGGAGCAGGGAGGGAGGGGTTGAAGAGATCTAGATGAATCAGAGTTGGACTTTATACTGGAGACTCCTGGCTGGCACAGTGGCTCACACATAATCCCAGCACTTTGGGAGGCCAAGGCGGGTACATCACCTGAGGTCAGGAGTTCAAGACCAGCCTGGCCAACATGGTGAAACCCTGTCTCTACTAAAAATACAAATAATAGCTGGGCAAGGTGGCAGGAACCTGTAATCCCAGCTACTCTGGAGGCTGAGGCAGGAGAATCACTTGAACCTGGGAGGTGGAGGTTGCAGTGAGCCGAGATTGTGCCACTGCACTCCAGACTGGTAACAGAGTGAGACTCTGTCTTAAAAAATATTGATAATAATATATATACCCACATATATGTGTGTGTGTGTGTGTGTATATATTTATATTAGAGATTCCTAACCAAGTGTTGTCGTTTCTGGGATGACGACCTATAGCTTTTATCAGGCTCCCAAAGAGATTCTTGACCCAAAAAACGAAATGAAATCCTTGCTTCTCAAAGTATAGTCTGAGGATCAGCGATACAGGCCTCACCTGGAAGCTCAGGCCCCAACCCCAGAACTGCTGCATAAGAATCTGCATTTTAACAAGATACTCCAAGTGGTTTGTGTTCATAGGAATGCCAGACAAACACGGCCCTAAATGCTGTTAATAAAATCTGCCTTGGGCCGGGCGCGGTGGCTCAAGCCTGTAATCCCAGCACTTTGGGAGGCTGAGGCAGGTGGATCACGAGGTCAAGAGATCGAGACCATCCTGGTCAACACGGTGAAACCCCGTCTCTACTAAAAATACAAAAAATCAGCTGGGCATGGTGGTGCGTGCCTGTAATCCCAGCTACTCAGGAGGCTGAGGCAGGAGAATTGCCTGAACCCAGGAGGCGGAGGTTGCGGTGAGCCGAGATCGCGCCATTGCACTCCAGCCTGGGTAACAAGAGCGAAACTCGGTCTCAGAATAAATACATACATACATACATAAATAAATAAATAAATAAATAAATAAATAAATAAATAAAATCTGTCTCTTCTATGAGCCATCAAGAGACTCTTCTTGCCTCTTAAATCCAAAGTTGTGATGAAATGTCCTGAAGAGGAAACTCCTGATAGCCCACAGCCTAGTGGACGAAGCACCACACATCCCACCATGCTGTACCCTGGGAATCGCTGCTCAGCTTCCGCCTTCAGGCTGGGAAGAGGCACGGTCCTGGGGAAGCCCAGGGTACAGTCAGGAGGAGGAGGTGGAGTTGCTGAATGAAATTAAGCTCTATGCACGGGGGACTACAGTGACAACACCTTTTTTGTCTGTGGGGATCTACTGTAAATAAAAAAGAGTCCATGTATGGGCTTGTACTGAGGAGGCAAAAAAGGGGATGTTGGGAAAACTGCACCTTATTCCAGTCTGGCCTGTTCCAGTGGGCTATGCAGGGAAGGGGCGTGCACCCAGGAGCTCACTCAGGATATCTGTATTTTTAGTAGAGACAAGTACTCTTGGGAGAAAATCATCTTCCATGAGTAGAGTCTTTTGCATACTAAATTGCAAGTTTCCCCATTTTAAAACGCGGTATTTCTTTGGTTTGGCACCTACTAGAATACTTCAGGACATCTAGTCTCCAATATATCAGCACCAAATATTACAAAATACCCCTGCTTTTTTCTTTCTAGACTATCTCTTGTCCCCAGGCCCCTGGAGGTTCCCATGTCCCCTCCCCCATCACCTTTAGATAGGAGCCGTGCTCATCATCAAAACTCGTCTTGCTGAATTTCTTAGGAGCCACGTTGAGCTTCTTGGCTTCAAGCCCCAGGAACCATAGCTCCGTGTAGCCCAGGATTTCACTTTGCTCATACGGAGAGAGCTGGTTCTTAAAAAGCTTTAGGGCCTCTGTGTGAAAAACACTGCAATTGTGAGTTAAGTTGAGGCAGCATGGGACTTGCCCAGGATGCAGACGGTGGCATCCCTTCCAGGTCACCAGCCATCAGCCTGTTCCCCAGCTGGTTGGCTCACTGAGGACCGAGCATCTGGCATCTCACAAGATGGAAATATGGCAAGGATAAATGTCAAGGTGTTGTATTTATTTCAATAAATCAAGAAAAGAACACAAAGAGAGGGAAAGGGAGAATGCAGTCCTCCAAAACCTGTGGGTTAGAGCAGCATGGGTGAAAATTCCAGGAGTAAAGTTAGAGTCAACAATCGTATATAGTTTAGGTGGCAAGTTGCCCGAGTTAATGTGGAATTTATAATTAGTCTGTCTTGAGAAGCTTTGAAAACTGTAATGTCTGCAGGGCCAGACTTAAAGGCAACATTAAAGGCCCAGAAGGCTTCACACTCAAATCTGCAGTTGAATCAGGAAGGACCTGAGAGATTGCGAGGAGAGATTATGAGTTAGGACTTATTTACGCTGGCCAGATCACATCAGCGCTCTGGTGCATGGTCAGGGGTAAAATTCACAGTAATTGATAAACTAAAGCATTCTCAGAGAAAAGAAAGTAGGATTAGGACAAAGGGCACCGTATGATTTGACAAAATCTCTAATGCTTCAACTGCAAGGAAAAAGAAAAAGACTTACAGGGAACCAGACTTCTGTCTTCATATATGTGAAGGGCAGTTGTGTGTAAGCTGAATAAGGCATGTTCTTTGCCCAGAAGACAGAGCCAAGGCCTAAGATAGCAGGGGGCAGATGGCAGCTCTGTAAAGGCAGAACTAGCTCAGGACTGAAATTACCTCCTCATGCATAGTTCCTGAGGTTGTTTAAGAACAAGCACCAATTTCAGTTTCTAAGCCGTGGTAGAAGAACTGTAAAGCATCTGATGATGGCACATAGCGGATGCTCTCTTCCTTTGCATCCTAATAGGTTATGAGTCTCTGAACCCTATTAGGAGTCTAGCTCCTGGCCAAAAACCCATGTGTAATCTTTCAGGCTTGACCGCAGGCAATCCACAAAGGCTTCACCTGGCAAGCCTCACAGGCAAAGCTGCCCTTCCTGCACCAGAGCTGGCACACAGCCAGTGCATTGCAGTCTCTGGAGGAAGCTACAGCCAAGGACCGGGACCCCTGGCTGGCCATGCTCTTCTACAAATCTGTATTTCTAATCAAGAGCCCCCCATAGAGGCTCCTCTCCAAGACCTCCTTATCAAGAGGAAGGAGCAAGCTTCCACACCGTTTGCTCTGTCTGACTCGGCATTCACCTAGCTCTTCCACCCTCTCAGTGCCTTCCCCCTGGCCCCTGGGTCCCTAAAATGACAGGAGCCTTTTGTCTGGGCTCCTTAGGCAATGTGATGCTTCCCTCCATCTGCATTGGTACATCTGATCCTTGCCCAGAGCCACTCCATGGGGGGAAATGCAGCCTCTTGCTGCATTTGTGACAGTCAGAGGTTCAACATTTAACTTCTACTTTCCTCTTGGCTTGCTGCCTTCATTGACTACTCTGGCACCTGGCAGCTTAGCTCACTCCAGCGCAGCTTAGCTCTTCACACCCTGACCTTCCATAACCGCCTCCCCACCCTGCTACTGCCCCAAAGGCATACCTGCTGCTGTCAGAGGCACCTTGTGCTTCCTTGGTGACTTCTCCTCTGCCTTGGAATCCTGGGTTTCAATGCTAGGGTGGAAAGGTATTTCTGAAGCCTTGAGCTCTGAGGTCGGCATCTGATTGTGAGCTTGATTCTCCTGTCCAGGAAAAGAGATTTGCAATAAATAACTACTTAAGACTCTCCTGGGTGCCATAAACCACTTATCTAATGAAAAGACACCTAGCTCCAGCCAGGCTGTTTACGTAATTCTCCAGGGAGGAAAGAAGGATTAAGAGACTGTAGCTTCTCCCCATCTCTCTCCCAAAGGAAGTATCTGTCCGACTCACACTATTCCCTGGGAACCCCCTGTACCTTACAGTAGGCTGCTGACAACCCCAGCAACATCTCACTGTGGGCACTGTGGGAAGGGATGGAAATGGGTTTTTCAGAGCTGCTCTTTTTTTTTTTTTTTTTTTTTTTTTTTGAGACAGAGTCTTGCTCCATTGCCAGGCACCAGGCTGGAGTGCAGTGGCGCAATCTCGGCTCACTGCAATCTCCACCTCCTGGGTTCAAGCAATTATTCTGCCTCAGCCTCCCGAGTAGCTGAGACTACAGGCGCACGCCACCATGCCAAGCTAATTTTTATATTTTTTTAGTAGAGACGGGGTTTCACCATGTTGGCCAAGATGGTCGTGATCTCTTGACCTCGTGATTCGCCTGCCTCAGCCTCCCAAAGTGCTGGAATTACAGGTGTGAGCCACCACGCCCGGCCTCAGAGCTGCTCTTAAGAAGGTGAGTTCCCGACTAGACAAAGTGACTTGCCCAGAAGCACATGAAGTTATGTGTGTATGACACCTCTTTAAGTTGGCCATTTCCCATATATTATCTCATATGGTCCCTACACAAGAGAAGTAGGGGGACGTGGGAGGAAACTCATATTTTATACGGTTCCACCTTTTATGCACCAGCACTTCATTTTTCCTTTCTTCAATGAATCCTCCTGACAGCTCTATAGAGGGTCAGTTTTGTAGCTAAGAAAAGGTCAGGGACTTATTTGCTCAAGCTTATCGTCATTGTAAAGAGTGAGAACAGGACTAGAACCCAGCTCTTCAGCAGATACTGTGCTTTTCCCCCCCATCCTGGGCCTTTATAAAACTGATTTTGCCTGTAATCCCAGCACTTTGAGAGGCTGAGGCAGGCGGATCACGAGGTCAAGAGATCAAGACCATCCTGGTCCACATGGTGAAACCCCGTCTCTTCTAAAAATACAAAAAATTAGCTGGGCATGGTGGCGTGTACCTGTAATTCCAGCTACTCAGGAGGCTGAGGCAGGAGAATTGCCTGAACCCAGGAGGCAGAGGTTGCGGTGAGCCAAGATCGTGCCATTGCACTCCAGCCTGGGTAACAAGAGCAAAACTCCGTCTCAAAAAAAAACAAAAACAAAAACAAAAAAACAAAAACAAAACTGATTTTGAACTAAAACCAGGTCTTTCACATACCTGCTCAGGGTCCCATCCTCCTGCACTCACCTGATACAGCAGGGATGACGTCAGCAGGACTTTGTTGCTAATGCGTGGGAAGCTTACCATATTCTTCTTCCCCTTAGTGTCCACAAAGGGAAGTGAAGTAATCCTGGTGTTCTATAGAAGGAGAAATTGGATACATTACAGAAGCCTTAGGCAAGAAAATGTCTACAGGGTTCGTTTCTTCTAGCCCCTCCCCAACCCCCATCAAGAATGAGCCTAACCCAAATCTGGACATAATGCTATTCTTAAAGTTCTTGGCAAGAAAATCAGATTCCAGAGCAGCAGAGTCAACAAGCACACGGGCTCTGGGTTTGAGTCGCTGCTCTACTACTTCCTAGCTGTAGGCTTTCATCAGGTCACACTGACTCTTTCTCTAACCCTCAATTATTTCATCACTACCACGGGAACAAAAATGGGGTACCTCATAAGGCTTTTGTGAGGTAAATGAGTCCATCTCTGTGGAGTATTCTGTAAGTGGTGGCCAGTATTATTATTACTGCAGTATCTTCTCACCCAAACACAGGGAAGTCCTTCCTGTTATATCATGCAAATCTTCCTCAGTGCAACTTAAGCTTCCATTTCCTGTATGACTACATTATTGACTTGACTGACTCTCCTGGATCCCTGCCCTCACACACTGATTGACTGACTGACTAATCAGGAGAGAGGTCACAATAGCTACAATTTAGAAGCGACCTACGTGTCCATCAGCAGATGGGTGAATAAAGAAAATGTGATATTTAAACACAATGGAATACCTGTTCAGTCATAAAAAATAATGAGATCCTGTCATTTGCAACAATAGGGTTAGAACTGGAGATCACTATGCTAAGTGAAATAAGCTAGGCATAGAAAGAGAAACATCACATGTTCTCACTTATTTGTGGGATCTAAAAATCAAAACAATTGGATTAATGGAGGTAGGGATTAAAAGGATGATTCTCAGAGGCTGGGAAGGGTAATAGTGGAAGGGGAGAGGTGGGGATGGTTAATGGGTACAAAAACACAGACTGAAGAAGACCTCATGTTTGATAGCACAACAGGGTGAATATAATCAATGGTAATTTAATTGTATTTTATTGTATGTGACACAAAGGATAAATGCTTGAGGGGGCGGATACCCTATTTTCCATGATGTGATTATTACACATTGCATGTCTATAGCAAAACATCTCATGTACCCCATAAATTTGTGCACCTACTATGCATCCACAAAAATTAAAAATATTTTTTAAAATCATGTGGCAATGGGGCATGGTGACGTGGATAGAGTGCTGTCATCATGTTATGATACCTGGTGTGATAAACTGGCCAGACTTACCCGTTCGAAGCTACCCTGGCGATCTGCCTCCCCTCATTGTCTCCTAGGGAAAAGAAGCTGACCATCACTCCCTACCTTATAAAGGGCTTGGGTCATTCTGGAGTGCTTGATATTGGAAGGTGGCTTCTGGACTTGAACGGAAAGTTTACCTTCAAGCTGGATCAATTGAAAGAAAATAGGAATGGTGCTTGGCATGGCGTCATCCCAAGCTGCACATTTTTGTTTCATGACAATGAACAAACTATGCTTAAAGCCAGCTCTCCTGACCCCTAAGCTAGGAAGAGCCAAGGGAGGCTCCAATAAGTACTCAGTGAATGTATGAATGTATGATGATCCGAACAAATGATCGTTCCCAAAGTGTTCATCCTGGATGGGCTTGGCCTATGGTTCTCATGCTTTAAAAAAAAAAAAAAAAAAAAAAAACAGGCCAGGCACAGTGGCTCACGCCTGTAATCCCAGCACTTTGGGAGGCCAAGGTGGGTGGATCACAAGGTCAACAGATCGAGACCATCCTGGTCAATGTGGTGAAACCCCGTCCCTACTAAAAATACAAAAAATTAGCTGGGCATGGTGGCACGTGCCTGTAATCCCAGCTACTCAGGAGGCTGAGGCAGAATTGCCTGAACCCAGGAGGCAGAGGTTGCGGTGAGCCGAGATCGCGCCATTGCACTCCAGCCTGAGTAACAAGAGTGAAACTCTGTCTCAAAAAAAAACAACAACAACAACAATATGGCCTTTTTTTCCCAACAAAATCTTAACTAGAGACCCCGGATATGGTAAGGAGTAACAGCTGAGCTGCTCTTGCTCTTTAGAAAAGAAAATGCCCATTGCCTTGCCTGGAAGTCTTTTCACCCTGAGTGTGACTCTGAAGGTGTCATGGTGGAACCCACCAGAACACAGGCACCCAGCCTGGACACCGGTGACCTGATCAGAAGAGACTTCCCACTCAGAAAGGGTAAGGAGGAGAAAATCAAAATACTAGAGCAGGCCGGGCGTGGTGGCTCAAGCCTGTAATCCCAGCACTTTGGGAGGCCGAGGCGGGTGGATCACGAGGTTGAGAGATCGAGACCATCCTGGTCAACATAGTGAAACCCTGTCTCTACTAAAAAAAAAAATACAAAAAACTAGCTGGGCGTGGTGGCGCGTGCCTGTAATCCCAGCTACTTAGGAGGCTGAGACAGGAGAATTGCCTGAGACCAGGAGGCGGAGGTTGCGGTGAGCCGAGATTGCGCCATTGCACTCCAGCCTGGGTAACAAGAGTGAAACTCCGTCTCAAAAAAAAAAAAAAAATACTAGAGCAGTGTGTCCCAGAGGGTAGCAAGCACACCACAGAGGAAGGTGACATAATGTGTGCAGTACGCAGATAGACAGTTACCAGGCTGGGCGCAGTGGCTCAAGCCTGTAATCCCAGCTTTGGAAAGCCGAGGCGGGCAGATCATGAGGTGAAGAGATTGAGACCATCCTGGCCAACATGGTGAAAGCTGGTCTCTACTACAAATACGAAAATTAGCTAGGCATAATGACGCACACCTTTAGTCCCAGCTACTTGGGAGGCTTTGGCAGGAAGAATTGCTTGAACCCAGGAGGTGGAGGTTGCAGTGAGCTGAGATCGCACCACTGCACTCCAGCGTGGTGACAGGTGTACACTCCCAAGCCTAGCCAACTATTTGTATTTTTATTTTTGGTAGAGACAGGATCTTGCTATGTTGCCCAGGCTGTCTTGAACTCCTCGGCTCAAGCAATCCTCTTGCCTTGGCCTCCCAGTATTAGGATCACGGGCATGAGCCATCATGCCCCCAGCTAAAGCTCTTTTCAATTCTCCTTTTTGTGACCGTCACAGCTCACAGAAGCATTCTAAACAGCCAGAACTAAACTGTGAAGCTTCTTTATTCCAAACTTTTGGTATCAATGTGTACTGCTTTTATCATCAACAATACCACTGTTTAAAAGCAAAAGATATTATAGCAGATAACTGTAAATGGTCCCACGAAATGCAAGGGAGGAGAAGGCAGTAATAAGTGCAGGAGCACTTTCTCCATGAGAGCCTGGAGAGAGTGGAACAGGCTTTAGGAGGCAGCAGGGAAACTGCGCCGGGAGAGCCTCAGTCTATGGAAACAGCAACTGTGGGAATCAAGAGAGGGTACTGGAAATGCTGGGCTCACAGGTAGCCTGAGGTCATTAAGATTCTCTCACACACAGGCCCGCATTGGAATCTTGGGATTCCCTGGGGTTTCTGGCTTGCTTGCCATCACTAGGCGACATCACTAGGCGATAGACCCATAGGACCCAGACAGTGCGTCAACACGTCACAGGTGGGCCGATGGGGGGGTGAAGTGTGCTCCAGTCTCAAGTCCTGACCCAGGGCCCTTCCTCTGCCCTCATGTGTGTCTGTTTTTTGAGCTAGCTAAGCACTTGGTTTCGCACACTTCTGTTTTCTCAGAAAAAAAAAAAAAAAAAAAACACAGCAAATTCCATCCGCCTGTTTCAGCTAGCTCACCTTTCTCCAATAAAAGCTGAGTTCAGCTTAAAAGCTGATGATTAAAGGAAGGGGGAAAGTCTAAACCAGCGTACTCACCCGCCCCTACTCTGTACCTGGCATTTATGCAAAATAGCTACAAATGTGCCAAATTGTTCTGTCCAATTACTTGGTCCTGTGATCCTGCTCTCCTTCTTGCCTCAAAGATTCTTCCAGCAACACCTCCCTCCTGCCTCCCCAAGCCGGAAGGACACACAGAATAACTGAGTTGGGAGGGACCTTGGAGATGCATTTATTCTTAACGCATTTACGGAGCGTGTCTATGTTCCAGGCAGTGCACTAAGCACAGAAGATCACACAGTCCAGGCTCCCTAGAGGTAGAGCCCAGAAACCTGTATTTTAAGCTTCCCCAAGTGAGTTCTGTACAGACAGATTTGTTAGCCACATTCTAATATAATCCCCTCCTTTGGAACTAGTCTCTCCCACCTCTGAACTTGTGTTTTTCTTTATGTCATTGATGTGTATGTATCCTTTCTAACTTTTTACGAATTCTTCTCATACTCCCCCAGGAGATTCCATGGCAACAAACGTTAGGCTTTCCATGATGTGCCAGCTCTGGAACTTCAAGACCAGTTCCTCTGGTTGGGTCATCGGAGGGTCCCACAGAGCCTACCCTGTGTGTCAGCGTCCATGCCATCATGACAAAAGGCTAAAGTGAGCTGGGACCGGCTCCAGAGCCAAGCTTGGATCTGCTGTGTGTCTCAGGAGGGAGTAGGGTTTCACTGAGTGTCTTCTTCCTGACACTGCTTCTTTGTAGGATGTCACAGGGAAGTGCCTCAATTGCAAATTCATATTAATGAACACAAGCTGACAATCATCTCACTTTCAAAAGTGAGTCAGGGCTGGATGCGGTGGCTCATGCCTGTAATCCTAACACTTTGGGAGGCTGAGGCAGGTGGATCACCTGAGGTTGGGAGTTGGAGACCAACCTGGCCAATGGTTTTAGTAGAGATGGTGAAATCCCGTCTCTACTAAAAATACAAAGATTAGCCAGGCGTGGTCGCAGGTGCCTATAGTCCCAGCAACTTGGGAGGCTGAAGCATGAGAATTGCTTGAACCCGGGAGGCGGAGGTTGCAGTGAGCTGAGATCATACCACTGCATTCCAGCCTTGGCCACAGAGTGAGACTGTCTCAAAAGAATAAATCAATAAAAGTAAGAGGCAGAAGGCTTTTTCAAACTTCAAATTTGTCACCTGATTTCTCATTGTGAGTGGCATCATTATATGAGAATAAAGATACCCCTTCACGATTCTTTGC